AATTTATAACAACTGTAATGCGTGGTGTGTGACCGTCTTTAGTAAACGTATGCGGGCGAGAATATGTGTTGCGGGGATCGAGGATGCGAGAAAATCGTCTGGCAATGAAAAACCTGCGGAAATTTATGGCGAAGAAAATCGTTTTCTTTATGTACGGGCCGCCGTAACAAATTAGGTTCGTTTTTTAGCGCGACGCCCTCGTAAATCAAGGGGGATGAAACGACGCTGGCGCCCTACGGCGGCGCTCGTTTATATTAAAAAATATTCGGCGCAGAGTCGGATATTTCCACGACGATTTTACTGAAGAAGCAGTTTTCACACTTCATAGGCGTACCCAAGAAGAAAATTAGCTTGTTGATTGACGTATTCTTATTTTTATTATTCTTAAGAACCTTTCCAGCAGCAATGGAGGTCATTGTAGATCTAACATCACTGCATATTGTCGTCGGCATATATGCCAATGCGACAATGATTAGAACTGTTTTGACGGAACCAGTACTGGTATAATTGTCAGCTCAGTAGCTTGGAACATCCAAAAATGGAAAATTCCACCTCTCCAACTCTCAGTGGAGCACTCTTAGTGAAGTATGACGTACAGATCTGAAGAAAACGTGATGTCGGTGAGTATCAAAGATGTGATGATGGTATCCAAGAGAATACAAAAATTACAGAAAAACATCCTTTGCATATTGAGGGGTTTCGAAATGAACTGGATCTTAGAGTCTTAGAAGATAATTATGGAGAAAATGAGAGTTAAAGTTTTTTAATGTTACTTAATTAAAATAAAACAATCTGTGGAGAAGGAAACTTGACACAATGCTTTATTATATTTTAAATTGTACACTAAAGTATCTCAAAATACAACTGTAGTCGTTTTTGAGAATGTTTGTTTATACTTTTTTGGATTTGAACCATTTTATCTCTGAAAATATTTGAAATTTTAGATAGAAATTGGTTCATCGGTACATTCATCGTCATTAAGGGATTTTTTAATTTCACATTGTCTATTAATAGTGTTTTCTCCGATTTTTATGAAAATTATGGTATATAGGCGGGATAAAGGGAAGAAGATTTTTAATGTGTTGCTTTTTAGAGCGTGTTACGTTTTACGTTACGTCTATTTGAAATGATAATATTTTTCTTCCTCGTGCAATTTTATTGAGATCATGTTATTGATTATTTAAGTTAGATATCTAAGTATTTGTAAGTTAAGTCAGATATCTAAGTATTTGTAAGAAAAACAGCCTAACTTGTTGATATAGTAATAGTAAAAATAATGATAAATCAAACTATACTTTAAGAATCGATAGAATCAGACCTTTCAGGTGACTGATAATCTGATTCACTTGGTGCAAATGGTTCAGACTTTGTTTCATTGTCATCCATTTCATCAAAAAAATATTTTTTTGCTCTAAACATTAATACGTGTGTTAAAATCGCGCACAGCGTTACATTTTCTGGACTTGATCCAGTTCACTCCTAAAAAGAATCAACAGAATATTCTTTCAGAATTTCTTCATCCACCACCACTAAAATTGATCAGAGATCTTTTATTGATGATTCTCCCTTCTTAAAAATACCACAAAGTATAATTTAGTGACTTATTCTTATGTTGTCTTTGTAATATTCCTTACTCCAAACTTTTTTCAACTTTACGTGACGTTTTCAGCATCCCAAATCGAATTGTTTGGTCCGATCGAAGCTTGTTTACGTCCGCGAGCTTCCTGTTAAACACTTGATGACAGGCGATGTCTAAAAATTATGCAAAAGAGGAAGTAGAAGCCGTGAAAGCGATACAAGCGCCACTTCGGGCCAATTTGCGAGCAATTTTAAAAAACGAGTAACCGACACCCGGTTGTCGCAGATGATATTTTTAGGGAAAAATGTATTTTAAAATGATAAAAGCTCTCTAGTTACCGACCGGATAAAAGAAGAAGCCTTAAAAACAGAAAAAAATATATTTTATTTTTATGAATAAATAAAAAAGTCAAATTAATATTCTTGTAATTTATCAAAAATAACTGAGATATTTCGAAGTCTATCGTTTTCTCACTGTATCTGCGGCTCCATTAAAGCTGTTCCGGCTCCTGGCTGCAATTAATCCGGGTGAAATTCCGGGGTAGAGGCCGCGGTCACCGGATTCGGGCGGTCTGCCACCTAATTCACTCCGGGTTTATTTACGGCGGGAGCCTCTCTCTCTTAATTCACCGGAAAGGCCTTTTTAATTTCCTCCAAATTAACACGTCATCAGAGAAAAGGAGAAAAATTGAATCGTATTAACATTGCAGAAGATGTAAGGAGATTATTTATTAATTAAAGATATTTTTTATACAAGACGTTAAAATGGTATTTTATCGTCTTGTATAAACAATATTTTTTTCAATAGCGAGTTACGTTTTGAAAAATATTCAGAAATTATTATTTCAAGGAATTTATTACGAGTAGAAAAAATATTGTGCTGGGTTGCCGTTGGTTTCTATGTAATTTGACAAATAAATAAAGCTGTTTCTTTAGTTGTCAGTTTTGAGCATAGATAAAAGAAAATAATCTACTTGGTTTTGAGTCAATATTTTTTAATTCTCTTTCGTGTCGATTGCTGATTGAATTGGAGCGAGAAATTGCTCAAAACGAAATAATTAAATTACCAACAGATATTCAGGCTGAGGCGACAAACGCCATATCCAAACTACTTCCATTTCCGAATAACTTATGAAAAGGAATACAAAAATTTTCAAAAATGGAAGCAATTAAAAAACGTGCGAGAAAAATAATGCTTTTAACCTATCCTCGCTGTTAAAGTATCATTTAATCTACCCTTGCGGTTAAAGTACTATTTTATCTAATATTTTTGATAGATATAAGGCAATTTTAACAGTTCCTATGGAAAAAAAATTACTTTAGGTTTTGATAATGTTTTTGCCCAAAGCAGTGTTGTGTCCAAAACTTCTTCTCTTTGAGTTTTTAAGGAGTTCTTGGCCTAAATAAGAGTTAAAATAGATGAAGGTATTCAAGAAAGCATCCATAATCTTCAGGTGTTGTTGGAACATACCTTGAGTTGTCCCAATATACCAAGAACCTCAACTGTTCAATTTGTTAACACTATTCGTCAAAGCACTGAAACTATACAATCTACAGTCTCTTCAGATGTGGATGGAACATGCCATCTGGAGTACCATATTGTATCTAAACCCTATCTGCTTTATTTTTTAAAAACGTTTTCCATAAAAGTAATTATAAACTGCATTCCACAAGAGCCACCCATGTCTTCAGATGTCGATGGAACTTTGGATCCAGAACAGTACCTGTTTAGCTTCGTAAAGACTCAAAAATGATATTTAAAATACATGTGAGTATCCAAGAAGCCATCCATATCTTCACTCTTTACTCTGAGAAGTTCCAGTATACTAAGAATATCTCTTCCTAATTATTAATAACTTCTCCAACAAACTGAATGTTAAAACTCCAGCGAATTTACAAGAAATCATCCATGTCTTCAGATATGGATCGTTTTTGCCAATACCTATTCGACCACAGTAAGAGTTAAAATATCAAAGGGCGTACCAGAAGACAACTTGCTTGCAGATGTTGATGGAACATGCCATCAAGAGCATCATAGATTCCTTCTCTATGAAGACACATTTTAGAAACCAACATAATATTATTGAACAATGAAAGAGTTCCACAATAAACAAAATTCTGTAATATTTTAATATAAATCTTCCCTATTTTATTCCCTTTATAGAAAGGGTTTCGATTTGTTTTAGGCGCAGGGACATAATTTTTAATTTTGCCGCTTTTGGCTGCGCAGATCCGACCGGGCCATTACTCATAAAAGAATGTAAACGCAATCGGCGAGCAGTTTATTACAAGCTCGATTACAGCGAAATTTTATTGTAACCGTAAATTTGAATAATCGGAATTCTGTAGCGACGTCCGCTGCCCGATTTCGGCAGTTTTAGCGCTATTCGACTTTATTTTTGGGAATATTTACCAGTACACAGTATTATTGTCGCAGGAGAACTGTTTTTTGTGTCTTTTTATCCAGAAACATGCCAAAATTTTTCAGCGCCATGCTTATAGTCCCAATAAGTCCATCTCGCCCCATTTTATACACCCCCAACTCCCTCCAATGAGTTACGAGCTTGCCCCATCCCTTGGCCTGGAGTTTCCAGTGTTGCTCCGGTCGTGATATATGCGGTGTTGAATTTTAATGCGCTCGTAAATATCTCGCGTGCGAATGCCCATTGGAAAACCATTAGGACGTCGATGAGATATGGCAACGTCGCTGGGGGATGGATGAATGGATGGAAACCCTCAGTTTCCGGTGTGGGTATAGACTTTTTCAGAGTCTTTCAAATGTTTTGGATAAGGTTAATATGGTAAAAACTTTAGAAGAAAAAACCTATGATACCTACTAAAAAGCTTATTTTCTAGGCTTATTTTAAATTTTCCTGAAAATGTTCTAAACAAAATCTATTCTCGCGTCATCTTAAGGCTTTCCTTTCTTAAATCCCTTCCTCTTTCTGGACACTATCTCATAATTCCCTCCGCTGAAACTTCCAGGCGATCCAGCCGAGGATGGGAGAACAAACAGAACGGAAATCTTTGGTCAAACAGTCTTTTCGTCGATGCCGGGATCTTCCAGGATGCGTGGGAGACTTAGATAAAACGATTTGCCGGGGAATATCCCTGGAAGACGCGTGATCCCGACTAAAAATTAGGGATTAGGGCTCGATATTAGTCGGGTGGCGTCCGTTTTCAAGCTTTTGAGTGCTGGAAATCTTCTAATCCTTTTAATTTTACTATTTTTTTGTGTATTATATTGTTTTATCTTGAAATAGGATCAGGAAAGTTACACTTCCCTGTATATTTTTCTAAAATTATTTACAAATATTTTTATTGGCTAAAAATATTATTAGAATTCATAATCTGATGACTCTTTAGTTTTAACATTTATTTCATTATGAAATTCTGTCAACTAAGTAGAAAAAACAAGACCATGCGTAGGTATATGGGTTAGTTATTGTTTTACAATTGTTACGAACACGCAAATAAATTTATAACACTTACAATAAATTATTAAATAATTCTTAATTTTTTTATATTATTAAATGTAACGTTTTTTTCTTTAAAATGGTGGTTCCAAAGAATACTGCTAAAAATGGTAAACCGAAAAATGGTGATAATGACATCAGAAAATCTCCCAGCCCTGAACCCTTTCAAGAACCCGACGGGATGACAACGGTGGATTTGAATAAAAGTGATGATTATAGTAGTGGTAAGTTCTTTAGTTTTTTTTTCATACATAAAAATATCTAATTTTTTTTCTGTTAGAAAATGACATAGAAAAGGAAAAAATTAAGAAAAAGGCAGAAATAAAATATCTGACCAGATTAATGATAGTTCTGGGTTCGTTATTTTTGGTTGTAGTTACGTTTTTGATATTTGGGTTCCTCAATAAAGGTAACAAAAGTTAATTAGCTTATTTAAAAAAAATCGAATATTTTTCTTACAGAATTTGATTTATTTACCACCATACCAGTAGAAATAAGTCCTAGATTATACCAAACTACAACAACAACTACAGAAGAACCAAAAAATGGTCTAATAACTCCAGAACTATTGAATGCAATGTTCCAATCTGAGAAATATAGAGATCATCTAAGCCTGTGCAGAAGAAAACCAACAATTGAAAATTGCTGTGTTATATTTCAAGATGAAGATTTTCCTGAATTTATTGAGTTCTGTAATGTTGACGACATGGTAAAGAATTTGGTGGAGTATGAAGTACAGAACAGGAAAAAACGTGATGCTGATGAGTATCAAGGATTTCATGATGGTCTTCAAGAGAATCTGTTCTTGCAATCGAATATGTATGAAGCAACAGAAAAATCTCCTATTACAGAATTAGCATCTGAAAAAAGTGAAATTTCTTCATCTACCACTAATAAAATTGATCAAGGATTTTTTATTGATGATTCTGGAAGTACCACAGAGTATAGTTTAGACTTACAAGCTCTAAAAAATAAGTCTGGTGCAGTTTTCAATCATAATTCTACATCAAAATCAAAATTTGATGAACCTTCTTCTGTTACTGATAGCATTCCATTAAATAAAAACTCTAACGTCTCAAATTCTGAATCACCAACTGCTGAGAATGATAATTCTTTACCTGAGCCATCCCAATCTCGTGCAAACTCCAACCAGCAAGATTTCAGAAACAAAAATAAATTTGATGTCTTTCCATCTACTAACGAAGACCTTCCAACTAACCAGCAAGCACCCTTTTTCAACCCATGTCTATATCCTTATATGCCTCCTTATGTCCAAGCTCCCAATCCAGCCGTTACTCAAGACCCAGGATTCCTCAAGGTGGTTCCAGTAAGCCAGCCGAGGTTCCAAAACCAGCCCATGTACGTTTTGAACCCACAGACTTTGTATACTATGCCTCAAATGCATGCACCACCTCAATCTATGTATCCTATGATGATGCAGTCACCTTTTATGCAAGGTTTCGTTCCTCCAAACTATTTTGGAGGTGGTATGAGTCCTCCTGTTCAAGTTGCATCTCCGGGAGGTCAGTATTACATGTGCAATCCTATTCCAGCTCCAACCAATCAGGTAGCTAGTGTTTCTGGAGTGGAAATCAGAAGGCAGGCTTCAGACTTGCAAACTCTAATGGAAAATTACGATTCACCACAAAAGTAAGGACTCTAAAATGATTCTTTTTGAACCTAATCATTTTTTGATTATTTTTTTAGCAACAGAAGTAGAGAAGCAACATTGATATGTCCCATTGGAGAACATGCTTGCCTGGATAACAGCAAGTGTCTTAAGAACAGGCATATCTGTGATAGTGAGGTTCAATGTGATGATTCTAGTGACGAAATAGAATGTTCCTGTAAAGATAGGGTTGGTAAATTGAGAGTTTGTGATGGATATTGTGATTGTCCTAATTGTGATGACGAACAGGGATGTTTTGGTAGGGTTTTTATCAAGAAATATTTATTATAGATACCAAAGAATATATTTTATTATTAGGTTGTGAAGAGAATGAATTTTCCTGCGATGATTGGTCCAGATTTCGCAAATCCACTTGCATTCCAATCAGTCAGCGATGTGATAACATCAAACAGTGTGAAATTACAGGAAAGGATGAGATGGACTGCTCTATTTTGGCAGATCACATCGGACAGTTTCCTGTAAACAAAATTTCAAACTCCGTAGGGTTTTTGCATCGAAACTACAAAGGAAAATGGTACCCTACTTGCTTTGGTACCGAACTTTGGGCTTTGCAAGTCTGCCAGGTTGAAGCTGGACCTAGTAACATGTAAATTAATCTCTTTTGGTCTCTAATTAACTCAAATTTCATTTTTTATTTTTCTAGAATTCCGAAATCTCACATGACATTGACTACAAACCCTTACCAAGGCCTCTTCATCAATATCCTGCCAAATGACGAAGTGAGTCTAGTAAATACATGCGTCCAAGACCGAGCAGCTTTTGTAGAATGTCCTCCTTTGTATTGCGGTCTTAGATTCCTAGTAAACAACCCTTACAGATCTCAAGAGATCGACACCAGCGTCGAAGACATGCTCAGCGACCTTGAAAGGGCTTACAAAGTGAAATTTGATGAAGGTGAAAGAAGTAAGGACAGTTCAAATGAAGAGGAAGATATTTCTTATAGAAGCGCATCAAGAATATCACGTTCGAAGAAGAGTACTGATAATGATCTGTGGCAAGAACGTTTGGAAGAAGCTATAGAGAATTTAGAGAGGTCTGTAAGATCTCCAGATAACAGTACCAACGACAATATACTGGAAGAAAGTAGAGTAGTTGGTGGTAGGGCTAGTCAGCCAGCAGCTTGGCCTTGGTTAGTGTCAATTTACAAAAATGGCGTGTTCCATTGTGGAGGAGTACTTATAAGTGAGTCCTGGATCCTTACAGCTTCTCACTGTGTTGACAGGTAAAATTATGACTCCGTTAGTAAGATTTTGGTTTGGATAATCCAATTTTTCAGATATTGGAAGTATTATTATGAAATTCAAGCAGGATGTTTGAGAAGATTCTCGTATTCCCCCATGGACCAAAGAAGATTTGCTAAAGTTATTATTCCTCATGAGTTTTATAGCAAAGCCAACTTAAGAAACGATATTGGTAGACCTAGAAAAAAAAATGAAATTCTCATAAATATAAAAATGTGTTTTTTAGCTTTGATAAAACTATCTGCACCAGTGAGGTACAACAGATACGTCAGACCAATATGTATACCATCTGAGGCAACTGCAGGGAAGAGTTACTTGAAAGGTCCAAGTCCAGGAACCATTTGTACCACAGTGGGATGGGGTGCTACAGTGGAACATGGTGCAGACCGTAAGTAAAAATCCTTTAAAATTATTTTATTATTTATTTATTTATCTACCAATCTTCCAAAGTTATTTGGCTCACACTGAATATATCACTCAACTGACAACTTAGAGAATAAGTCAAAGTGTCTCTTTGTCTTCTTACATCATCCTCGATATTGATTAGGATGTTTACATCCTTCATTAAACAAGGGAACTCGTTATAGATCAAGGAATCTTCCTTGATCAGTCTTGGAAATGCATCTAACTTTTCTATAGGCAGACAGACATTTTCTGATTTTGCCAGGGATGTTATGATATTCTCTTTACACTTTTCAGACTTTTTGATTTTTGTTTTCATTTCTTCTTTTATAGCACCTCGAGATTTCAGCAGCATTAGTCTTCTGTCTCCGGGACTAAGTCGTCTTCTATGTCCTGTTTCCATCGCGAACTCTTCCTCGCATTGTTTTAAAATTTCCGGATTAACGTTTTGCTTCAATTTCTCCAAAGTTTCGTCGATGAATTTTCTGCAAGTTCGGTCTTTGATCAAACTATCACTCGCGTAGGACCAATAGGCGTTAACTTTTTTAATGTCCTTCAGAGTTTTCAGGTCTAGGTAACTAAAAATCTTTTTTGTTACCCAGATCGGAAGAATCTGGATCCAGTCTAGAACTACATCCGATTCTTTTTCTTTCTTTTTTGATTTTTTCGAGGCGGTTTTTTCAGGTTTCGTTGATGTTTTCTCGCCTTTTTTGTCAGGTTTTTTGTCGGGTTTTTCGTTTTTTGTAGCAATTGGGAATACTTCTTGTCGATATTTTTTTATAAAGTCGTCCCATTTTTTTCGCATTTTTGAAACTTCAACAGACATGGGGTGATCTTGCGGATATTTGTCGGTATCATCCAGTTCATTGGCTATAATTTGTTCCAAATCTACAAAAGAATGGAAGGTGTACCATACGATCGAAAAAAACGGTGTCAAAGACGGCTGAGAAATGACAATCGATGATAATTTATTAAGTCCTAGACGTCATCTACCGTGTGATCGAAAAAAAAACGACGTCCAGTTTCCATATAAACTTATATATAAAATGACAGCGATCTTTATTTCACAGCCATCGCTGACGCCGTTTTTTTTTCGATCATTCGATCATACGAGTAAAAATGATTTTTATATGGTGTATAAAAATCTTCTATGTATAAAAATCGATATTTTTTTTCGATTTTATTAAAAAAACTATTTTTTTAATAAAAATATCATCGATTGTTATTCCCCAGCCGTCTATGACGCCTTTTTAGTCGACCATACCAATAAGTATGGTTAAGATCGGCAAAAAAAAGTTTTTTTAGTTTCACTCAAAGTGAGTTGTTTGGATCATAAATGACCTAAATACAAAATATTTTCATGGTGTCTCTCTGTCTGTCTGTCTGTCTGTCCGTCTGTAACACGATAACTCACAAACTGCTGAACCGATTTTAACCAAATTTGGCACAAAAATACTGTGGCACCCGATAATCTGGTCATTAGTTTTTGGAGGGGGTGGGGGTTGGTAAGGGGGGATGGGAGGTGTTAAAAATTTTTTAAAAATCGTAACTCCAAAATTACAGTAGCTAGAGAAACGCGGTTTTCACATTAAGATTAGGAATAATATTTGCAACAAAATTTGTAATAACATCAAAATCAGTCAAAGTCGCAGTTTTTGAGATATGTATTAACATATTTTAGTATGGGTGGCTATACGTGCCTCCCGGCGCCAATTTTTTTTACCCGTGTCATCGGCCATGCCATAGATCTGCATACTTTCCGCTTTTAAAACAAACTTTTTGTATATACCCAACAGAGGAATATATAGCTTCCTTTTCAAGCCATTCCCACCCAATCTCAACAGCTCTATAAATAGTTTTAACTGTTTGTCCTTGTTTAGCGTGTTAATCCATTGCAGATCGTTTATACCTATTTCTAAAAAATACGTTTTTTTAATAATTTTGAATTAGTTTTTTTTAATTTTTACCTCGGAGATAAGCTTTGTCCAGTGTTCTGTCGTGATCGATCAAAATTTGATTGACTTCCAATTTAACTTCCGGCCTGGTATCGGCAAAAGCGGCAAATTTTCCGAAACAAGTGTAGATATAGGCTAGACCCCTGACCAGCACTTCTGAATGCTGAGTTTGTGATGCCATAGCGATTATGTAGCTTTTTTTATGACGCCAGGACAGCCTGACAAAATACTCTTCAATACTCTTGATCCTCATCTCAAGCTCTCGGTCTCTATCATCTTTTGCTCTCTCAACTTCCGCCTTCTTCTGCGTGGCACTGTTAATAATCTCTTGTTCTTCGGTGAAATCTATGTAACTGTCCAATACAGACACCATTTTCTTTGCTCTAGCTGATCACATGCGTGAAGTTGACGTTCCGATCATCGAACACTGCAGCCACAAGGAGGATTCTGACTTAGATGAGATTTGCGCAGGTATTTTTGACATAGAAACTTTTGACTAAACAATTTTTTAACGTGTATTTGCGAAGGTACCAACGAAGGAGGTAAGGATGCTTGCCAAGGCGATTCGGGAGGACCCCTGATGTGCAGGAACCCAAACAACCCAAGTCAGTGGTATTTAGCAGGGATTGTAAGTCATGGAGAGGGTTGTGGAAGACCTAATGAGCCAGGGGTTTATACCAAAGTCAGTCGTTACTTGGGTTGGATAGCTGAAAGTACCAGAGATAACAGACTGGCATATACCAGTCCTTTACAAAAATGTCCAGGTTTTATTTGCAATGGTACCAGAAGATGTATACCTAAGAAAAGAAGGTGTGATAGAATCGTAGACTGTTTGTTAGGTGATGATGAAGTAGGATGTGAAAATCGATTTAAAGATGTTTTTAAACACTCTAGGTACTGATATTTTTTTGAATTATTGTTTGGAAGTTATTAAATGTTTTTTTTTAAATAGAAAAAGCGTCTTGGGACCGGTTTCTGACCCATCTGAGAGCATCGAGAATGCGCTAATACAAACTTTAGAGCCTTTAAATGATTTAAACTTACTGAGTAGCAGTTTAAATCAAACTAGTGAAAATGTAACCTTAGAAAATATAAAGGAAGATAACATTGAGGATGTAACTGAAAAAGAAACAGATAGAGATGAAGATGAAGATGTCTTGCTAGAAATGAGAAATATTTTTTCTGAAGAGGAATATTTCAAATGCACGACGTATGTTATTTAAAAAAATAAAATATAGTAATAATAAAATATTTTCTTTTTAAGTTTGTTACAGATAATCCCAATGGACAGGAGATGCAACAAAATCGAAGACTGTGAAGATGGAACAGACGAAACAAACTGCACTTGTGCTGACTACGTTAGAAACATGGATGCCAGTGCTATTTGTGACGGTATTACTGATTGCTGGGATGCATCTGACGAAGAAAACTGCATCAAATGCAATTCCACCCAAATGGTGTGCAGACTCAGTCAGAAATGCATTGATTTATCCAAAAGATGCGATGGTGTACCTGATTGTCCTCAAAATGAAGACGAATTAGACTGTGGTATGTTTTAATTTCTTTTTTTTTTATTTTTTTTTTAATTCTGTGTATTTCTAGTAACTTTAACCAATGGTCACACTCTTACACTGGACAAAGATGAACGTCCAATGTTCAAATCACGCGGTATAGTGACCATTAACCACGCAGGACAATGGACACCGTACTGCTTTAACAGTTCTTCAGAAAATTCAAGTGATGAACCTTCTGTGTCAACTGTCATTTGTAATATGCTCGGGTTTGACGAGTACCACACTTACAGCAAGTACCAGCTTGAAAATCGAAGTCTTAACATCAGTTATTCTATGAAAGAAGGAAGGTTATCTGAGAGGGTTGAAGAAGAATGCGTGAATTGTTGCGAAGGACTTTTTATTAGGTAAAGTTAAGACAGATTGTGTTCAGGGTTGGGTAGGTGGAAAATTGTATATTTTTTATCGTATTTTCTACACGTAGAAAATTAATTTTGTACATTTTTTACATGTCCAGACGTAGAAAATTAGTTTTGTAAATTGTAAGCCTTTTTTGAGTTTATATTTATTTCAAATACTTCAATCACAACGATATCTCTAATTGTGAATACAAATGGTTAATATACAGGGTGACAATTTGAAAACGAACAGTATTTAATATGGCCTCTACCGATGATAGTATGAAAAAGAGGTAATATTAATTAAAAAAAAATAGAAGTGAAAAAAACGGCTTTAAATATATACAAAATTAATTTTGTACCTGTTCTCAGATTTTATAAATTTTCTACTTAATATTCTCCATTTTCTACGCACTTTTCTACATACACGTAGAAAATTAATTTGCTACGCGTTGTTACCCAACCCTGATTGTGTTAATTTTTTTCTCGGTCAAAATATCCTTGTAATTCAGAGTTATTTTATTTATTAGCTGTTCTAATGTATCTATGAGTTCAACTCTGAACTACAAGTCTCTGGAACAAGTCAAAGAGCTGTATTTTTCTCCATGGACTGTGGCAATTTATTCTAACGGAAATTTCAAGTGTATGGGTACGCTTCTGGATCATTTCTGGATAGTAACATCCAGTGGATGCTTCAACACTATTACCAAGTATTTTTATTTATCTAAAAAAAATTAAATACTTTGGAGGATGATATTAATATTTTTATAGATTACATTTCACCTATGTAACGGCTGTTTTTGGTAAAGGAAAATTGAGTTTACCTATTAGAGGTCCTCACGAGCAAATAATAAGAATAATAGAAAGCATTGTGGTCAATCAGACTGATATAATTTTACTGAGATTAGAACATGATGTAAAATTTAATAGATATGTTCAATCAGCTGATCTGGATGTTAGGTAAAGAGTTGAATGTTTTTTTTAATAATAATTATATATTAACATATTTTTTTTAGGCGAGAAACTCTTCAAACTGAAAAATGTTACGCTGTAGGACGAGACAACGATAACCAAGCTCTTTTTGTACCATTATCACCAATGAAAAATTGTATGGTTGGATATAGATGTTTCGAAAAGAAAATTGAAGTTTGCCAGGTATATTTTTTTCTGAAAATCCACGTAAAAAATTATAGTGTATTTTTTTTAGGATATACATCCCTGGAGCGGTACTATATTCTGCGATTCACGAAACGGCTGGTACCCTGCGGCAGTCTACAACGAAAAAACCGGACATTGTGGGTTCTCTCACGAGAAAAAGTATACCAGCTTAAAGTATTACAAAAATGTAATATTTTCGGCTATGGGTAAGAAATAAAATATTTAAAACAAGCTTAATTTAATGTAATTTATTTTTTTCTTTCTAGAACAACCTGCAAAGGAAATTACTTCAATTATATGCCATGGGTTTAGGTGTGACCTCGGCAACTGTATTTCCAAGGAAAAACTTTGTAATGGAATTCCGGATTGTACTAGAGGAGAGGATGAAGAAAACACCCTGTGTTATGAGAAGGAAAAACAATGTAATGTTAATGATAACTGTGGTAAGAAAAAAAATCAAAAATGTTAAAAATATTACATGTATCACCATCTAGCGGCTGTTTACTCAAGTTTTAATGGCGCAATATACACTCAACTGGCACCCTAAAATTTTCATGTCTTTTAAAGTTTTATACAGTGTGTTCTAGTGAACCGATTTTGATGGTTTTTTAAGCAATTTGTAGCTAAGTTATTTGACTTTTTGGTATGCCTTTCTAAATTAAAAATGAAAGTTTCCATCTGTCAATTATACGAGGGAAAACAAAATGTTGATAGTTCGTTGAAAGATTGGAACACCCTGTGGAGTACGCTAACAAAGCAAGGAATGTAAAAATTGAGCTAGGTGATAAAATGATTTTTAAATTCATTGCATTGCTAACATATTCCACAGGGTGTTTCAAACTTTCGCTAAAATGTCAACATTTTGTTTTCCCTCGTATAATTGACAGATGGGAACTTGCTTTTTAATTTAGAAAGAAACACTAAAAAGCCAAATAATTTAGGTGGAAATTGCTTAGAAAATCATCAAAATCGGCCCACTAGAACAAATATATTTTTATTAAACTTTAAGATACATACATGAAAATTTTAAGGTGCCTATTTTTCAAATTCTCCTCTTTTTTAGTATGTCCTTCAACAGATTTAAAATGTCCCTCTTCGAATAAATGTTTCCCGAAATCCTCGTTTTGTGATAGAGCAAATAATTGTGGAGAATTTGAAGACGAACCAGACATATGTTCTTGCAAAAATTACTTAAAATTGACAGATCCAGGAAAAATATGCGACGGCGTGGTGCATTGTATGGATAGGTCTGACGAGGATCCGGATATTTGCAGTTGCAAACTTAACGATTTTGAGTGTGGAAAGTATGAATTATTTATAAAAAAATTTTAATGAATTTTGATATGTTTTTTTTTTGTTGAAGGAGTAACAAATGCGTGTCACAAGAAATGGTTTGTGATGGATTCAAAGATTGTCCTCATGGAGAGGATGAGACGGTTTGTCTGTCATTACAGTCATCAAATCATGAAGTGTAAGTACATATATACAGGGTGGCTCAATGTTTCGAAAAAGCTCCTTGCCAGAGTTTATATAGTCTATAAAATGAATAACTTTGAATTTTGACCGTTATTTTTACCAACATGGCAAATATAAAATCCCTCTATCAAAAAAGTTACTGATATTCTTTAAATTGAGTGCCTGAACTAGCCTGAACGAATCAGATAGGTAGCTCTTTTTACTTTCGTGAAATAGAAAAGGAAAATAATAAAACAAGTGACAATTCTTCCTCTTCTTGCAAAAATCAACACGAAATGTCATAATTGACAAAAGTAAAATGTCATCAGCTTTTGACATTTCTAAATATTAGACCAATGCCGTCTCTATTAGAACAGCCACGAGGCGAGATTTATGACGTCACGCTAGTTAGATAATACGGATTAATAAATATGTTGGAGAATACATGGGAAACATAATTATTCCTCGTATTTTTGGTTTGTATTTTAAAAATGATATAGTTTACATGAAATATACATAATATACAGTTAATAAATACAATATAATATATACCGATTTATTGTAATAAATACTTTGGCTAATAAACATGAACCATACAAATGCAGCAAATGTTTTACAATATAAAAATAATGAATAGGTGGTACATAAGATAATGGGTAAAATGTAAAATATATTTTAAATTTTGGGGTTCGAAAATCAATCTAATTTAACAAAAAACATTCAATATCTACTAATAGTGATGTATTATTATTTGCATTCACAAAATTTATTTATATATTATAATATTTACTGCAATTAATAAACTAATATAAATTTGTCAAAAGATGACCACATATTTTTTTAAATTATTATTCTTAACACAAAAACTATCTACATTGACTATGGAGTACGATTTCAGTCATATTGTAAAACATTTGCTGCATTTGTATGGTTCATAGTTTATCTGCCAAAGTATTTATTAATATAAATAGGTATATATATATTGTATTTATTATCTGTATATTATGTATATTTTATGTAAACTATATCATTTTTAAAATACAAACCAACAAATCGAGGAATAATTATGTTTTCCATGTATTCTACAACATAGTTATTAACCTGTAGTATCTAACTAGTGTGACGTCATAAATCTCGTTCCTAGGCTGTTCTATTAGAGACGGCATTGCGTCAGCACGGCAGCAAGTTGCTAACCTAATAAAATTAACACTAGAAAAGCCCGCGGGAACTGTCAAATTCAAAGTTATTCGTTTTACAGACTATATCACAGATTCTCTCTCCAGTTTTTTTCTAAAATTTTCCTCGCAATAGTAACGTATATTTTAAAAATATTTTCACAGCAAAATCATAGATATATAGGGTAATTGAAATTGAAAAAAAAAAAGTCATTTTATTTTGATAAATAATTTTTATAGGAAATATTATACACTAAGACACAATAGGGTGTATTAAACCAAATGTTTTAACATATTTTTTCATTTCTAGAACCAATGCTGGCGAAGTTATGAGCAGAACAGCTGGAATATGGCATTCTGGATGCTTCGAACCATCGTATTCCATGACAAGCCTGGAAAAAATATGCAAAAAACTTGGATTTACAGGTAAAAATTAATAATCTTGTCCTTAAGAAAATGTAAATATAAAAATAATGTCTTTTTTTCAGGTGGTAGTGCAAGTCAGCTACCTTCACCCAAAAATATATCAACCCAAATCACCTTAAGGCCAATCATGGATAAGTTTGATGTCGTCTGGATAAGGAGATCTCCAGGAAATAAGCTGAAAATCAGGATGAGATCAGGTAACGTGCCTTATGTGAGACTGGTCCCAGATGACAAGTGTCACAGACTGTTTGTTGCATGTATATAATTTTTGGTATTTTTTGTAATAAAGTGTTTTGTACTTTTAGTTTTTTTTTATTATTTTGCATATTTTATTTTTTTAGTTATATTGTTGCGTGTCTTTATTTTATATTATTTTTATATTCTAGTTGGGCAAAGAACATTCAGGAATTTTAACAGCATTTTATAGAGATTTGTACGTAAATATTGACATTGATCTGTTTTGTACTATAATTTCACAACAAAAACTTTTTTTTCCTTTACCGCATTGAAAAAATAATAAATCAACAGAGAACATTAATAAAATAATAATAAACACCTCTTTTTTTAATAATTAAATAAATTAAGACAATATTAATTGAAAAAAACAATTTTAATATACTCTCAAGTTTATTTATTATCACTGTTTATATAAAATTCAACTAATAAATATGTCTTCAAATTATTTTAATCATTTTAAATAAGTATTTGATCTTTAACGCATTATTATTCCTTTTAAAACTAATTTGTTCTATTTCAAATTTTACTTTAAGCCCGCGGAAACGATCGCAGCGCCAAAATAAATCGTGGTGGCGTCTTTTGTAACTATATTATTGTGTGGCGCCATTTGTCGTTAATTAGTAAATCTACACTGCTGACGAAGAAGTTTTCTGTAATTACATATTTCTAAATTACAGAAATCTGTAATTTTGATAGAATTCTGTAAAAAAATCGACTGTTGTGACATCTATCAGAAAATAGTTATACTATTCCTTCAAAAATTAATTAAATTAAAGAAATCTACTTTTTCGAGATCCCAGAAAGTTTTTAATCAGAGCCATCTGTTATTTAAATTTAACACTTTTGCTAATTTTAACCAAAGAAAATTAACGCCGGCCGGTCTCGCTTGGTTTTTTTTAAAAATTCTAGCTAAAAAAATGATTTTATTGTCTATTATTTATTAACAAACTTTTTCAAAGATTCTGCTCGACCCTCTGTAATAGTGAGTACCGTTTATTTTATGCTATTTTATGTATTTTTTGATCTCCAAAATTTTTCATTGTCGCAAACCGTCATGGCGGTTCTTGGAATTTACAATATTTTTGTGTAATAATATTGATTAGATACTTTATTTTGTAATTTCCTAACGAAAAACTATCAAACATGACTACATAATTGAATATTTGAGTACAAATTACGGTAATTACAATTTCTCTTTGTATTTATTTGCATTTTCTTGTTTTTTTTTACTGTTTTTCTGTGATCTATCATGGGGACTGGAGTTTTTTTCAGATATTAACATTTATATGTTTAGCACATTATTTTCTATGTCTTAACATCATTAAATATGTTTTTTAAACGTTTGGATATATTTCTTCTACATATTTCATTATTTATGCCATTTCATATGTGTGGTGTTATGTAATGGTTTTTATGGTTCTCGTTTTTTTTTAAACTACGCATTTAGAAATACGTTATTTTACTCATATTGTTCAGTTTTAGGAAATATATACCATATACATCATTTACAAGATTTACATAGTATGTAAAATATTTTGTGTTGATTTTAAAAGACTGTATTTCTAAGGTATTCTCTGTATTGGTCGAGCTATTCCAGAAGGCTGCAGGATTAAAAATTACTTTGAAACTTTTACAAATACATTTTCTAGATGTAAAACACTAATCTTTTGTAGGTTGTGAATTTTGATTGTCCTAAAATATGTTTTTTTTTGTTTTATACATGGTAATAATACCTTACACGAGCACACAGTCTTCAAGCATCCTTTCACAGAAGAAAAGATGGAGGTGATCTCAGACAAAGGTGCTTAATTGTGATCTGATGAGGCCTAATCGTCTGTCAAGGTTTAAATCTGATGAAGGAAAATAAGCATCGGAAGACAAAGGTTTATGATAAATGGAGGTGTATATAACACAGTTCTGTCCTATCTACAACAACAACTTGTACACTAATTAAAGTAAGTCTTATTTTTTGTTAATATATTATAGAAAAATTTGTATTTCTCATAGTTTTTATTTATTCTAGTCATATCGAATATAAATTAAAACCACCATGATATTGAATTGTTTTTTTTTTTAGTTCTCAATTTTACTGGTTGCCTACCCAATTCTTTAAAAAATTGATATTAAGTTCTGTATGGGTCTAACAAATCAAGGTAAATCAAAGGTAATTTTGTAACATCATTAATTAAATAGACAAATATCCATACATTTTATATTAAAGAAAATGTTCTCCATCTGATATATTAAATAATATTTATTTTTAAGCAAATTTCTGGCCAGTTAAGAGATCCACTCAGAGATTGGCCTCTGTACATTTTTAATCGAATAACATACTGCCTTATTTTAGGCTAGTAATTTTGTTTTGTTACAATTTTTTTTACACTTTCAAATGCATCACCCAGTAAACTGACCTATAAATATTTCGTTCACTGTATTTCGTATAAGTTCTAGTTTCATGTTGTTTATAGTTATTTTTATTTTTCTACAATATCTTCATTACTATATTTTCTCCATTGTGGGAATTCTATAAAATATTCTATTCGCTGTATTTCAATAAGTGTCTTTTATTTGAATTATTTTTCTTATGGTGTTATTTTTCTAATACTTTTTTGCTTGTGTAAAACTTTGTACAGAATTTTAGTTTTGATGGATTCATTTTTATGTATTTTTTTTTTCAGATCATACGCCATGAATTACTGTAATTTTACGGATTCTGTTTGTTCGTGTTTGCTTGTGTTTTGATTTAAAGACACTTAAAAATCCCTATATTGATTCCGCGCATTCGCCATTTAGTTAAAAAAAATCTGACTAATCCACTGAATGTGACTTCTGGCTTTTCTAGCCTATTTTCCAATGAATTTTCCTGAGTAACTTTTCAATTCCAGAGCATCATAGCTAGCCTCCCCGCAAAAAAGGAGACGTTGGTCATGATCTAGAGATATCAAGAAATATTATGATTTTTTAAAGAAACAGTCATTTATTTTTTCCTTTTTTATTTCAGAAATGGGAAATCATCGGGTTTTACCTCAATTTTCCTCATTTAGACGAATATCGAAAGTGGCAGTGGCAAGAGTTTTTGATGCAGTCAAATCTACAGGGTGATACAAATACTACTTCACAGATACAGCAGAAGATATAGATAGATATGTTGGATTACAATTATATATGGGACAAATAAATCAAGGTAAATTTAAAAATATTACCACCAAAAATACAATATAAATAACAAAATATAATTATCAATGTTCTTTTTTTTTTGCTGCATATTTACAAATTACGAACACAACATATGCAAATATATACATAAACAAAATACACTATATTACTCGCAATCTTATTAGTATCTATGTTTTTGTTTTACGTAAGGCACGGTAAATAATAAATAAAATTAAGTATTTTCTTTGTAACTGCTTTAAATATTAAATGATTTAAATAAATGCTATAATTATTATATTAGAAATGGTATAGCCAGATTAATATGGGAAATCTGCTTTTTTTTGAGGGGATCGATTTGGTATCGAATCAAAATAATTCACCTAAATTTTTATCTCTTTAACTCAAACGGTTTTCGAGATTTTCAAAAAAACAACTGTTTTTTAATTTAATTTTTAGTTTTATAGTAAAGTTCAAAATTAATTAATGCTGATTTTTTTCTGAATCTTAGAAGTCTAAGACCTGAAAAATAATATGATCATGATTCATAAACGAAAAACCGATTTTTAGCGGAGGAAAGAAAGTTAAAATCTTCATTTTTTAACCTTTGTGAAATACGTCACTCTCTAAAAATTGTCATAAAATGTTTTTATACTCCTTTACACTCAGGATTTTTTAGAATTTTTGAAGTGGTGGAACAATATGAAAAAATTAAAAACTCATTTTTTGACGATCGATGATATTCCACATATAATTTTACACATAAGATGACAGCGATCTTTATTTCATAGCCATCGCTGACGTCGTTTTTTATACGGTACTTACATCATCTATAACCAGTTGAATTATCGTACCTTAATAATTCAGGCAATTTCTAAGTATTAAAAGTTTCCTTTAATAGGCGCATTCGCCATTTCGTCAAGAAAAAAACCGATAAACTTGATTTGTAAGTTAATGTTTCATTTAAAATTATTTTTTCAGTACTCAAACACAGCTACAATATAATTATTATTATCTCCTGCTTAAATACTAATATTTCCAGATCAATGAACAACGTTTTTACAGTTTTAATATTATACCCTATACACAACCCTATAGCTTATAGTCATATTTTAGTTAACAAATTAAGTTTATTTTTTTATGTAAAAACAAATTTAATAAATTTATTAAAAGTTTCTTAACAGAGTAACCATATTTTTTAACATTATTTCTTTAATATTAGTATGAAACTCAAAAAAAAACAAGTATATTAGCATTAATTAATAATACATAATAATATTATTTATTTCTTTGTAACAGATTTTGTACAACAAATCGATGGATGTATACAGTTCCAAAGCAGTACATTTATCATTTTAACGAATATTACTAACAATGCATCAGGACTTATAAGTATATCTAAAAGTTTATTTCTTTTGGGTAAATATATTTAAACTGGTTTTTAATGTTCTTCGGTGGATTTCATGATTTCTAAATTTAATTATGTAGGAAAAAAAATCCAGTGAGTCTCTGAGTTACATTTTTATGTCCCTTTATTGTCATAGGAAAATTCAGAACATCTGTTTTTAATTTGCACCAATTTTTGGCTTTTGATCACTCCTTATTCCTTTTGGGAGAATACCATCTTGAGGAATTTAATTTCGTGTTGTTTTTGGTTTACTTTCTTTTCTCTATAATAGCTTGATTTTTCATTGATTCTAAAAAATATTTCATTGATTGTATATTTCTATAAGTCTTCTTTTACTTGTATTATGTTTCTGATGGTGTTATTTAATACTTTTTGCTTGTGTAATTCTTTGTACAAAATTTCAGTTTTGATGGATTCATTTCCATGTCATTTTTTCAGATCATATGCCATGAATTCCTGTCATTTTACTTATTCTGTTGCTTTAGTTTGTGTGCGTTTAAATAAAATTTAAACACACTTAAAAATCTGAAGACTAATTTCCGACCAATTCCTGGCGCATTCGCCATTTATTTAAAAACCGTAACTACTCCACAGGATATCACTTCTGCCTTTCCCAGCATTTTTCCAATTAATTTCCCCGAGTAACATCGACTCCAGAGCATCATAACTAGCCTCCCTAAAGAGGAGGGCCAGGTCACCCCTAACCCGGTTGTTCGGGCATCGATGACCTGTGTAGCATGCAGAGGTACCCAAGGGAGTCACCACCCTCTGGTTTACGAGCTAGGTGTTCTAACGCTAGAGGCTTCGGCCGGATACGACCTGGCACCCAAGCTCCGAGACTTCTTCGTGCACGTATTCCGTGACCCTCGAAGAGGCAGGGGGCGGGATATCGGACACATTGAAGATGATGAGGGGGGTCCGCCTGTAGGGGGTCCCGGTGGATGTCCGCTCGATGGGTGACGAGGGTGACCCGAGACGAGGCTGCTTAGCTGGGATGGGAACTGACTGGCGAGGCTTAATCGTCGGCCAAGGGTCAAATCTGATGAGGGGGGGTGAACTTATATGCTCTGGAGGATTTTTTCTTTATGTGCTTCGGTCATATTTTGACTAGATATTCCTGGGAGGGGGCTAGGCATAACTTTTTGTCAATTTTCCAGTTCTTATTGATCACATACCTCTTTATTTTTTTTTAATATCATCTAAAACTTTCCTCCGTCTTGATTTTGGCCTCCTGTGTCACTATTTTTGTCTGCCATATTTTCTTTATTATTGGAATACTATCATTCATCAATTCTACAAATTATCCCAATGATTTGTTATATAAACTTTTATATTATTTTTGTCATTCTTGTGAGACGTTTCTAAGACATATTTCATAGATTCTGTTGCCTGTATAGAATGATAGCTATTTTTTAATAATTTTCACGTCATTTTTTAATTCATAATATCTCTATTTCATTATTTGTCTCTCATATTTTCTTCATTATTGAAAATATCACCTTTCATTCATTCTATAAACTCTTCAATTGATTGTCTTATTTGTGTTATTTCTTTATGTTTCAGACTTTGTACCTTTTTCTATGTCAGTGTTTTTTAAGACACAGTATTTCCACATTTCTATTGCCTATACAGAATTATGGCCTTATTTTTATTCACGATTAGGACTTCCAAGTCTTTGATTATGTTGCTATTGATGCCTACATGGGATTGTTTACTTCTAGATTCATTTTCCAATTGATTTTTTTTAATTCCTTTTAAAATTAAGTTTTTCAATGGGGTATTGTACTGCTTTGGAACAAGGATTTTTTGAGACAGCTGCACTTCAATGAAGCACCCTCTTCAAGTTGCCATTTTGATGAAGTTCATCATTGGAGACGAAGCTAAATAATTTTAGGTAAATTATACTAAAAGGTGTATTCTCTTTAAATCAAATATGTTTAATAAATATGTAGTATTATTGTATTTTGTAAAATATGTAGACGTAAATGATTAATTTCAAATAAGATGTTTTAGCGCGCAAACTACTTATTTTATAGGCAACTATAATTACACTTAACGTGTATAATGAGTTGCCTGTATAATGAGTCTAGATTTTTTTAGCTTAGTTTTTTATACTTTTTTAATATTAAGGCGGACTCTGACGACTCGTGTACTTGTACAAACATTTATTATTGACATATGCCGTATGATCGAAAAAAAAACGACGTCCAGTTGGCTTGGAAATGACGATCGTTGACATTCCCCATGTAATTTCACATATAAAATGACAGCCATTTCATAGCCATCGCTAACGCCGTTTTTTTTTCGAATATACGGTACTTGCCATGTCGTGTGAACGGTTTGCTTGTGCAATTATTTGTCACTCGAGCGCCAAGTATGTTGAAAAAAAAATGTTGTTTACAAAGATAGTATACTTGCCAAGTACGTATGTAAATATTCGCGTACTTGGCAAACATTTTTTATTGACATTCAGGGTCCGGCAATAGTGCTTCGTAGCTCCTATAATAAATAACTTAGAAATTCTGTATAGATGCCCGACGCACGCTGTATACCCTGTATACCAATAACATGTTTATGGAGTACACGAGTCGTCTGAGCGTGCCATAATTAAAATATTTCTTAATTACAAATAAGCTAAGTTAACCATGTTTCTTTTTCTTGTATTATCAAAAAAGTTCTCTATGTTACAAAAATTTTGTATTATCTTATACCGTATGATCGAAAAAAAATGGCGTCCAGTTGGCTTGGAAATGCCGATCGATGACATTTCCCATATAATTTTGCATATAAAATGACAGCGATCTTCATTTCGTAGCCATCGCTGACACCGTTTTTATTCGATCATACGGTATTTTATATACCCATTTATCACTTCACTGATTAGTTAAAGTTATACCTTATGATCGAAATAAAACGGCGTCCAGTTGGCTGGAAATTGACGATCAATGACATTTCTCATATAATTTTCCATATAAAGTGACAGCGATCTTCATTTCATAGCCATCGCTGACGCCGGTTTTTTTTCGATCATACGGTAGAATAACCTTGTTAATTAACAAATAATTAATTGTTTCTTTATGTTTTTCTTACAGGAATTTCCAAGACTTTCCAGAAGGGTAGACAGAAGATTTACTTACCTCAACATAGCCATCAGCATGTCCATCAACACCTTGGATTTTAATATACTTTTTATATTACTCTTGTTAATAAAATATAATATGTTAATAAATATTAAATAATAAATAAATGAGTTTAATTCAACCAAAATATACCTATTAGAAATACTGTCTAATCCTGAACAAAAACAAAAAGTCATTTAATTATCACAAAAGTAATATATTCTAATAAACAACTTACCAAGTTGTTCAGAAATTTTTAGACAGTATTTTATATAAAAATAATATCTAAGAAATAAACCTACCTCTTCGCTCTTATGTACTCCTGATACAAATCCGAGAAAATTCAGCTTTTAATAAAATTTGAACGAGAATTTTTAATCCATGTCCAAAATCACTGGTTTCTATCAGGAACGCATAAGTGTGAAGAGGTAAGGAGTAAACCGAGTACCAATATTTACCTCCTCGCTCTTATGTACTCCTGATACAAATCCGAGAAAATTCAATTTTTATCAAAGACCGCACGAAAATTTTTAAACCCTGTCAAAAATCGCCGAATTCTATCAGGAACGCATAAGTATGAAGAGGTAAGGAGCAAATCTAGTAGCACACGTAAATAACGCATTTTTCAACGATATTTCTGCTATCTCTAGCACTTCGAACTCGTTTCCAAACTTCAACCCCTAATATCTCGGAAACTATAAGGGCTAGAGAGGAACGGAGGGCGGCTTTCGATAGGGAATTCAACCCTCTATAAGGGCGCAAAAGGAGGCGCGATCGGAACAAAAAAATTTTGGCGAAGAATGAGGTAAGGGGTTAACCTTCCTTCATTTTTGCCCAAAATTTTTTGTCTCCGATCGCGCCCTAATTATGCACCCTTATAGAGGGTTGAAAGGCGAATCGAATGCCGCCCTCCGTTCCTCTCTAGCCCTTATAGTTTAGAAGTTATGGCCGTTTTTCGAAAAAATCTAACTCATTCTAACTCGTTGGTCAGTTGCTCCAAAATTTGCCAGGTCGAAATTATTTTTGGTCGGTTTTGTCTAAAACGGAGAAATCTTGAATTTGTATCAGGAACATATGAGTGCGAGGAGGTATTTTTCGATACCAGGAGCAGGCGTTGCATTCACCATTTTGTCAAGAAATTATTTTATTTATTTTTACCTCCTTACTCTTATGTACTCCTGATACAAATTCTTAATTATTCAGTCTTTAATGAAAATTGGAGGAAGTTTTACCCTTGCTCAAAATCATAGATTTCTATCAGGAACACATAAGTGCGAAGAGGTAGTTTTACCGCCTTGATATTCAGTGAAGAGATAGTATTTATCTCCTAGCTCTTATGTACTCCTGATACAAATCCGAGATTTTCATCGACTTTGTCTCTTTTTTTAATTTGGAATTTCCAAATAAAACACTAATAATTTTTAAAGGTTTTTATTCGTAAAACACGTAAATATATTTGACATGGACAGTTATTCTGGATAATTGTAAACACTATATAATTATTATACAGGGTAAGTACACTTTTTTAGGACAGTAATTATTTTTAGCAGTAAGGTAACTTTCATGGCCTACTTAACTAATGCATTGCATTTGATACATAGCTTATATTAGAGATATACACTATAAAATTATTATACAGGGTGGACAATTAACACTTATTTAAGACTGTATATTATTTTTAGCAGTAAGATAACTTTCATGGCCTACTTAACTGTTGCATTGCATTTGGTACATAGCTTATATTATATTAGAGATATACACTATAAAATTATTATACAGGGTGGACAATTAACACTTATTTAAGACTGTCTATTATTTTTAGCAGTAACATAACTTTCATGACCTACTTAAATATTGCATTACATTTAATAAATAGCTTATAAAGTATGATCGAAAAAAAAACGGCGTCCAGTTGGCTTGGAAATGAACATCGATGACATTCCCTATATAATTTTACATACGAAATGTAAGCGATCTTCATTTCATAGCCATGGCTGACGCCGTTTTTTTTCGATCGTACGGTATCTATAACCAGTTGAATTGTACACTACACTAAATAATTAATATATGAAATTAAGTAACGTTGTTAATGATCAAAATAAAACACTAATACACCAGAAGACATCAAAACACTTTATTTTAACACTGAACACGCGTTTCGCTGCCCATGTAACAACATCGGCAGATGATTAAACTAATATATGCAAATTGAACTTTTATATAGGCGCTCGGTTGGTACTGACCAAGCGTGACAAAATTAGCCAAGCGAGTCAAAAGCAATTGAGCGCAACAATTAATTACCAAGACGATAAGAACAGAGAACTGAAAGAAACTAGACCATTATCTCTGTTCATATTGTCTTTACATTTATTTATTTTGATGCTATCACATGCATCTACTTGCCTGTAATTTGAGACTTGCTTGATTAATTTTAAATTATTAACATCTATACATATACAATGATCTTTTTTTTTTAGATCTAATTAATATGGATCTTCTTGTTCGCGCAACATATTTCTGATTACAATCTTTACATGAAATTTCATTAATACTCGACCTTTCCAGAGGAGATTTTTTACCTTTGGGATTACCTAATAGTAGTTATAATTTATTATTAGCGCTATACACAAATTTGTAATTGACATTCTTAAAAACTGTTTTTAATCATGGGATGGCTCTATTAAACGGTATTGAAATATAGTTAGATGTATCTTTCTTTGAAAAGTAGAATTCGCAGGAATCAAAAACTTATAGCACAAATAACTGAGTTATCTGCGCTTATATAGTTTTCCTGAAGTCAGTTGGAATAGATGAGAACTCTTAATTTCGATACTTTATTTGCCGGCGTCAGCTGGACAAAGGTCTTAAGAGTTTCACTACTTCCAATCTTCCAATTGACTTCGGAAATACTATACCTACGTTTTCTAATTATTTTATCAACTAATGAAGGAGAATATCCACTGCACTCAGCTACATTCAACACTATTTTATATCTTTCGTTGGTAAATGGTCTACTATGACATTTAAACTAGCCGTCTTATGTTGTGTATAGACATCATCCCCCCAGAAACTTTCATATCTATAGAAGAAATATCACTACACACAGATATATTCCTAATGAATCTTATCACAGTGTTGAAAAAAAAGACTAGTTTAAATTTCTAAGTTCATAAACTACTTAGTTTTCCACTTAGCAACGAAAGAAAAAAAAACTTCCTTTAGACAATGCGAGACTTCGTCGTTGGTGGTCAAAGCTCCTAGCCAGATGCTAGGGGGAATCCCCTCTGGTATTTTATGGGTCGAAAAAGCCTATCACTACCTTGTCCCTGGCCGTAGTGCCGTGGCCAGGGAATTGATAAAATGATACCAAGCACCCTCTACTGACTTCAAGAGCTAGTCAAACTATACTTCAATACCGTTTGATAGAGAGTTATCCCGTAGTTAAAAAGAATTTTTTAAGAATGCCAATTATAAACTTGTGTATAGCTAAAAATAAATTATAACAACTATTAAATAATCCTACAGATAAAACACCTCCACTGGAAAGGTCGGGTATTAAAGAAATTTCATGTAAAGATTGTAATCAAAAAAATGTAGGGCAAGCTAGAAGATTAATATTAACTAGATTTAAAAAACATATGGCTCAGATAAGATATGGTAGGGCGGATAAATCTTGCGTTGCTCAATATATTTTTGATAAAAGATATATGTTAGTAATTTAAAATTAACGAAACAAGTCTCAAATTACAATTGTAAAGATAATATAAACAGAGATAATGGTCCTATTCGTTTAAGTTCTCTGTTCCTATTGCTCTAGTCTCGGTAATTAATTTTTACGCTCGATTAGTATTGACTCGCTTGGCTAATTTTTTCACGTTTAGTCAGTACCAACCGAGGGCCTATATAAACGCTCAATTTGTCTATATTAGTGTAGTTATTATCTGCTGAAATAATTATTAAAAAAAAAGCAAGTTATTTTTAATTATTGGACTGGAATTAGTCATCTCCAGTGTTAAAAGTAAAGTATTGTAAGTGTATTGTGTTGAATTAGTGTTTTATTTTAAAACGAAATTACCATCGAAACGCGGTTTGAATTTTAATAAAAAAAGTGTTCCTCTTGTAAAGACGATTTGGGACATACTGTATTATAATAGAAGGCATTTGTAGATCTAACGTACCGTATGACCGAAAAAAATAATTGGTGCTTTTTTAAATTACAACTGTTTATCAAAGTTGATATAATTACCTCCTGGTAGAACGTTTTAACATTTTCTAATATTAACTTGAAAATCAAGTTTATCGTTTTTTTCTTGACGAAATGGCGAATGCGCCTATTCAAGGAAATTTTAATACTTAGAAATTGCCTAAATTATTAAGGTAGAAGTACGGTAATTCAACTGATTATAGATAAGTACCATATGATCGAAAAAAAAACGGCGTCAGCGATGGCTATGAAATGAAGATCGTTGTCATTTTATATGTAAATTTATATGGGAGATTTCATCGATCGTCACTTCCAAGCCAACTGGACCCCATTTTTTTTTTCGATTATACAGTATATTAAACATTTATTTTTGCCATTAGTGTCTTTTTCTATAAATTAATTTAATTATTTCAAGTCTTTTAGAAAAAGTTACATTACGCTACGAGTATTTAATAAATTCAAATAAAAAAATCCAGTTGAAATTGTTACAATTTTAAAGATATTGTTAAAAGCACCCTGTATAATATTTAAACCTTCTCTAAGATACGGGCAACAGAAATCTATAAAAAAATGCATAAGCGCGAAAAAATGTACAGGGTCCTTACAGGGATATACGAGGGGTTCAGAACTGAACTGGATCAAGTCCTAGAAGATAATTATGGAGAAAATGAGAGTTCAAGTTTTTTAATGTTACTTAATTAAAGTAAAACAAGTTAGATAAACAGGCTATGCGAGAAGGGTGACTGGCGTCATTTCTCTACTGGAACAAAACAATATTTTGTAAAAATACAATAATTATCTTAAAATAGTATGAAATTGGACTCGACCCATTTTAATTCTGACCACCCCATATATAACAATAATATTAATACTTAAATTACAGAATTTACCTTATCTAAATTATACTTCAATTCCAATTTTTTTAAGTCTTTTAATTTCAATATTTTACTTTCATGGCGCATTCGCCATTTAATAAAATTTTGCTTTTATAACACCGATGTGAAAAATATTAATTTAAAATCCTTATTTAAGCCATTATTACACCATCAAATTTCTTTGTCAAATATTTTATTTTGTTTACGAGTTTAACAGTGTAATATGGTGATTTTATAAAATATTGTATATTAACACTCAAATTTTTCATCAAATATCTTTTATAAAAGAACTTTGACGAAGAAATTTAATAGTGTAATACTGGCCTTAGAGAGAAAAACGCATACGGTATACATAGTATCCATACAACCAGTTCATTAGAAATTATTTTGGCATCAAATTTAAAATATCTATTTTTTAATTAAGCTGTATTTTGAAAGCACTTTCTGAACAGGTTGTGTGAAAACCCCTGTATTTTTTTATAAAACATTAACAGTGCAAATGATCGATAAATAAAATTTTGATAATTTTGAATTCTGTAATTTTTTATAACTAAAAGAGCCAACTAAAATACATTTCAGAAGAGACAGTTTAAAAAACAGTCAAATATTACTCCAACTGAATTAAATTAAAATTTTGATACTTAAAATATATAAAAATAAATGCATTTATACTGAAATTAATATTTAAATTAAAGAATTTATTTTATCTCAATTTTATTTTCACATTTTTTTAAGTCTGTTAATTACAATATTTTATTTTCCTGGCGCATTCGCTTGTATTTTGAAATATACTTTTTTTTAAATATATTTTCCACTTTCCGAACAGATTGTGTGAAAAACCCTGTACTCTTTTATAAAGCATTTAACAATGCAAATAAAATTCTGATAATTTTAATTTCTGTATTTTTTTTTATAATTAAACAGTTTAAAAAACTAAAATATATTTCAGAAGAAGAGGCTTAAAAAACAGTCAATATTATTCCAATTGAATTAAATTAAAATACTGATACTAAAAATATATGAAAATAAATGCGTTTATACTGAAATTAATATTTAAATTACAGAATTTATCTTATCTCAATTTTATTTTCACATTTTTTTTAAGTCTGTTAATTTCAATATTTTATTTTCCTAGCGCATTCGCCATTTAATAAAATTTTGCTTTTATATTGCCGATGTATAAAATATTAATTCAAAATCATTATTTAGAGAGAAAAACGCTAATATGACGGTATATGATATACAGAGTGTCCACACAACCAGCCCATTAAAAATTATTTTGACATCCAATTTGAAATATACTTTTTTTTAATATATTTCCCTCTTTCCGAACAGGTCGTGTAAAAAAACCCTGTACTCTCTTATAAAGCATTAACATTGCAAATAAAATTCTGATAATTTTGAATTCTGTAATTTTTTACAACTAAAATCAACTAAACTATATTCCAGAAGAGACATAGTTAAAATAAAAATAAATGCATTTCTACTAAGGATTTACATATAAATTACAGAATTTAACCGTTTTATCACAATTTTACTTTTACAGCAAAAAAATTGAATAAAAAACCAGAAAATTCTTTAAATTTTCTGATTTTCCACAAGTCTTTACGACATTGGTAAAAATAAAGTGTTCCTATCCTAAGTCTGCGTTCTGTTCCATATCTTCAACGAGAAATATACAGGAGGCTCAAAGAAGTAGGAGTATCATTAACAGCTGCAGTTTTTACAGAATCATTATCAACCTATAAACAGAAATAAATGTATAATATCAACAATATTTAAACTTATTTTCTAAACATCCAAGAACACAAAGAAATATGATTAAAAAAATGTTAATTATAATCTTTATCTATATTCTTTGGCAATTGTGTAAAATAAAAAATATCAGTACAGTACTAAAATTAAAATTAATTAAAAACTAAATTTTATTTATATTTTTTTTTATCAAAATAAAAAAAAATGTAACTTAGTTCTTTTCAATGTGAATAGTTGTTTGAAATCAGTCTTTGCCTCAGCAAAGTACCGTATGATCGAATAAAAACGTCGTCAGCGATGGCTATTAAGTGAAGATCGCTGTCATTTTATATGTAAAATTATATGAGAAATGGCAGCGATCGTCAATTCCAAGCCAACAGGACGCCGTTTTTTTTTCATCCCCATCATACGGTAGTACCTTTATTGATATCTTGATACATTCCATTCCTCTAAGTTTTGGTTGAAAATCAACTGCAGATTGCCACAGAATATTCTTTTTAATGCTGAGAACTGACGGAAAACCTAAAATTTTTTAATTGTTAAATTAGAAAGAAAAAACAATAAACTAATTTCATCAAAAATACAATATTTTTCTATATCGACTAGGCCATAGTTTGTAAAACAAATACATTAAACACAGGATAAATTAAAAAATAATATTATTAAATTAATCTTCCTGAACGAAAGGATAGGCAACCAGTAAAATCATTAATTAAAAATAACGAACTAAATTCAAAATTAATTTACTTATGTCTACTCTCTTTTTTGGTTCAGGTTTATTTAATATTTATTGTTACTAAACAAAAAATAAAACAAATACAATTTTTTTTATATACAGTATGCCACCGGAGTTTCTTAACGAAAGGGGAGGGGGGAAAGACGTTTTTCATTACATATTAACATTTCAAGAAAAATGCATTTTTAATTGATCAAAATATTTATTTGTTAAAAAATTATTAATTCCGTTTATACTTTTTCCAAATTTCTATATCGTTTAAGATAAAAATAAAAAATATATGAAGATATACTTAGTTGAATTTTTCCTAAATCCCAAAATCAAAAAGTGTTTCTATATGGTAATATAATTTTCTTTTCATTCTCTGACAGATAGTTATTATTAATTTCGATTAACGTCAAGTATTTTCATATTATTTTAAAATGCTAAAGAAGCTCAAAATTTATAATCGCCTTTTCTGTAGCATTAAACTAAATAAATTTTGGGCTCTCTTAACATTTTAAAACGTTAAAAATATAACATTAATGAACATCAATAATAACCATCTATCGAAGAACAAAAACAAGATGATAGATAGATATTGCCATAGAGACGCGTTTTTTTTTAATTGCAACATAGAAAAAAATCAACAAAACATACTTCACATTACATTTTTTTTATTCTTCACTAATACGGTATGGAAATTTGGAAAAGTATAAATGAGATTAACCGTTTTAGAACAAGCAAAATTTTTTATAATGCATTTCACTCAAAATGTTAGTAATAAACTTTCCTCTTGTAAAGATGATCTGGGTACATACTGTATACTACTGGTATTACTAGAAAAAAAGACTTACATGTTTTAAAAGCGAAATTTAGTGCCCTGTTGGCAGATACCATTTAAATAACTGCTTGAAAACCAAGAGCAGATGCCTCAAAAACTCTCGCCCTACAGCTTTTCAATACTCTTGTAACTAAGAAAAACTTAAGTTTTTCGTTCCTAAAATGAAAAAGAAATTAACATTGTTTTTTGATTTTTTGTTCGTAGTATTAATTTTATTTTTGTAAAGGATAGGCAACCAGTAAATCAAGAACAAAAAATCTAAATTCAAAAATAATTCATTTTATGTCTAGTCTCTCTTTCTTGGTTTAGATTTATTTAATACTGTGACTAAAAAAAATGAAAAACAAGACAAATATATTTTTTTCTATATACAGTATGTTACCGGATCGTCTTTGCAGTAGGACAAACTTTTATTATTAACTCTTTGAGACTAATGCATTCCCCATAAAAATGGTTAATTCCGTTTATACTTTCCCAAATTTCCATATTGTTTAAGAGAAAAATAAAAAAATATACGACGATATACTTGGATAAATATTTGAAAAAAATTAAAAAGATATGAATTTTAATATTATTTTTTTTTTCATTCTTCGATAGATGGTAATTATTAATCTTGATTAACGTCCATTTAAATTAAAATATTAAAGAAGCACAAATACATAATCACTTTTTCTGCAGCTTTGAACAAAATAAATGTTGTGCTTCCTTAATATATAAAAATCAGCAAAAGTCGTTAAGCAAAATTAATAATGACCATAATATATCAAAGAAAGAAAATCTAAAAATATTACCGCAAGAACGCGTCTTGGTTTTTGGGAAATTATTATTTTTCTCTAAAACTAAACAGGATTAATTATTTTAGAACATGTATTTTGTTTAAAAAAATGCGTTTTACTCAAAATATGAAAAATAAAAATGATTTTCCCTTTTAAAGACGATTTGGGGACGTATGTACAAACACGGGTTTTTATAAAGTACTACTAGAAAAAACTCTACTGAAAAAAAACTTACATCTTTTAAAAGTGAAGTTTGAACACAGCCAATGTCTTAGTACCGTGGTACTTGCAGTGCCCCTAATGACTGATACCATTCAAGTAACACCTTGAAATCCAAGAGCAGATGCCACAGAAATTCTTGCCGCCACAGTTTTCCAATACTCTTGTAAAAATGGAGAAATAAGAAAAAACTCACGTTTTTCCTTCTTAAAATGAAAAAGAAATTAGTATTGTTCTTTGATTTTCTGTTCTAGGTATTAAATTTATTTTTGTAAAGAATAGGCAACCAGTAAATCAGGAACTAAATTCAAAATTAATTAATTCTACTTGTACTTTGTTCATTTAGATTTATTTAATACTTCAACTAAACAAAAGAGAAACAAGACAAATACAATTTTTTCTATATACAGTCTGGCCCCGGATCATCTTTACAAGAGAAAAGGCTTTTTATAATTAACTGTTTTGAGACAAACGAGTATCTTCTAAGTATCTTTTTAAGTTTCTGTTTCTTCCTGTTCAAATAGCTAGTCCTGTTATCATTTTCCAAATTTCCATATTGTTTAAGAGAAAAATAAAAAATATATGGAGATATATCTAGTCGAATATTTTCTAAGTCACAAAAATCAAAACACGTTTCTATACGGTAATATAATTTGATAAATGGTTTTTATTAATTTTAAGTAACGTCATGTATTTTCCTATTTTAAAATGAAGCACAAAATATATAATCCCCTAAATAAATTTTGTAGTCTCTTTAATATATAAAAATAAGCAAAAAACAAATAATGTCGTTTAAATTAATAATAACCAACTATCAAAGAACAAAATATTTTCGTAGAGACGCGTTTTGATTTTTGAGCCTTTAAAAAAAATCAACTAAATCTTTTTTATTTTCTCTACAATAGTATGGAAATTTAGAAAAGTATAAATTATTGAATTAATCATTTTAGAACAAGCAAATTTTTTTTTATAAAGTCTTTTAAAAACAATCTGGGGACATACTGTATGAACACATATTACTTATTAAAAGAAAAACTTACGAAGGTGAAAATTGTTTGAACACAGCCAATGTCTCAATGAAGTATTTGAAATCTTCGGTGAAAGTAGTACTGGCAGTGCCCTGTTTACAAAAACCATTCGAATAACTCCTTGAAATCCAAGTGCATATTGCCATAAAAACTCTTGCCGCCACAGCTTTTCAATACTCTTGTAAATAGAAAAAAATGAGGAAAAAACTCACGTTTTTCCTTCCTAAAATGAAAAAGAAATTAGCATTGTTCTATGATTTTCTGTTTTTGGTATTAAATTTATTTTTCTAAAGGATAGGCAACCAGTAAATCAAGAACTAAATTCAAAATTAATTAATTTCAATTGTATTTTGTTGACTTAGATTTATTTAATACTGCAACTAAACAGAAGAAAAACAAGACAAATACAATTTTTTCTATATACAGTCTGTCCCCGGGTCATCTTTACAAAAGAAAAGGCTTTTTATAATTAATTTTTTTGAGACAAACAAATATGTTCTATGTATCTTTCTAAGTTTCTATTTCTTTTTGTTCAAATATCTACTCCTGTTTATCCTTTTCCAAATTTCCATATAAGTTTAAGAGAAAAATAAAAAAAAATATATAAAATATATCTAGTTGAATATTTTCCTCCCAAAAATAAGTCCTAAAAATCAAAACACGTTTCTATAATATGGTAATATCATTTCCTTGTCATTCTTTGATATATTCTTATTATTAATTTTAATTGACGTCAATTTTTTGCTGATTTTAATATTAAAGAAGAACAAAATATATAAATCACCTTTTCTGTAGCATTAAAATAAATAAATTTTATGCCTCTTTAATATATAAAAATCAGCAAAACAAATAATGTCGTTAATCAAAATTAATAAATAACCATTTATCAAAGAACAAAATATTTATTTTTTTTTATTTTCTCTAAAATAGTACGGAAATTTAGAAACGTATAAATTGAATTAACCATTTTAAAAAAAGCAAAATTTTTTAAAGTCTCTTAAAAACAATTTGGGGACATACTGTATGAACACTTGCGTTTTTCTACCAGAAAAAAAACTTATTAAAAGCAAAACTTGCATCTTTTAAAGGTGAAAACTGTTTGAACACAGCTAATGTCTCAATGAAGTCTTTGGTGAAAATTACATTCAAATAACTCCTTGAAATCAAAGTGCATATTGCCATAAAAACTCTTGCCGCAACAGCTTTTCAATACTCTTGTAAATAAGAAAAAATGAGGAAAAAACTGAATATTTTCCTTTTTTTTTCCTTCCTAAAATGAAAAAGAAATTAGTATTGTTCTTTGATTTTCTGTTTTTGGTATTAAATTTATTTTTCTAAAGGATAGGCAACCAGTAAATCAAGAACTAAATTCAAAATTAATTAATTTCAATTGTATTTTGTTGACTTAGATTTATTTAATACTGCAACTAAACAGAAGAAAAACAAGACAAATACAATTTTTTCTATATACAGTCTGTCCCCGGATCATCTTTATAAGAGAAAAGGCATTTTATAATTAACGTTTTGAGACAAACGAGTATCTTCTAAGTATCTTTTTAAGTTTCTGTTTCTTCCTGTTCAAAAAGCTAGTCCTGTTTATCATTTTTCAAATTTCCATATCGCTTAAGAGAAAAATAAAAAAAATATATATAAAATATATCTAGTTGAATATTTTCCTCCCAAAAATAAGTCCCAAAAATCAAAACACGTTTCTATAATATGGTAATATCATTTCCTTGTCATTCTTTGATAGATTCTTATTATTAATTTTAATTGACGTCAATTTTTTGCTGATTTTAATATTAAAGAAAAACAAAATATATAATCACCTTGAACTAAATAAATTTTGTGCCTCTTTAATATATAAAAATCAGCAAAATAAATAATGTCATTAATCAAAATGAATAATAACCGGCTATCAAAGAACAAAGTATTTTCATTGAGACACGTTTTGGATTTTTAGGCCTTTAAAAAAACTCAACCATATTTTTATATTTTTTTTTATTTTCTCTCAAATAGTATGGAGATTTAGAAAAACATAAATTGAATTAACCATTTTAGAACAAGGAATATTTTTTATAATCTTTTAAAAACAATCTGGAGACATACTGTATGAACATGTGTTTTTCTACCTAACTAAAAAACTTTATTAAAAGCAAAACTTACATCTTTTAAAGGTGAAAATTGTTTGAACACAGCTAACAGCGCAATGAAGTCTTTGAAATCTTTGGTGAAGGCAGTACTTGCAGAACCACTCAAATAACTCGTTGAAATCCAAGTGCATATTGCCATAAAAACTCTTGCCGCCACAGCTTTTCAATACTCTTGTAAATAAGAAAAAATGAGTAAAAAAGTGAAGTTTTTCCATCCTAAAATGAAAAAGAAATTAATATTGTTCTTTGATTTTCCGTTCTAAGTATTAAATTTATTTTTCTAAAGGATAGGCAACTAGTAAATCAAGAACTAAATTCAAAATTAATTAATTTCGCTTGTGCTTTGTTGATTTAGATTTATTTAATACTGCGACTAACGAAAAGAAAAACAAGACAAATACAATATTTTCTATATACAGTATGTCCCTGTACCATCTTTACAAGAGGGACGACTTTTTAATAATAACTTTTTTGGACAAAAACAAGAGCGAAAAAAGTCTTTTAGTATGATCTAACAATCCCCATAGTGTCGTAACTGTAACAGCAAAGGCTGTTATATTGTTGCAGGCAACATAAATGCCATATCTAACAAAAGTTTGGAATTTTAGATCGCACTAAAAGACGTTTTTTTTCACTCGGCTGTAAAATTTTCAAAACATTTTTTAGAACAAACGTTTTTTTAAAGAATGTATTTTACTCAAATATTAAAAATAAAAAAATAATTCCCGAGGGGTGTCTCACACTTGGATAAAAAATGTACACATACTGCCAAAATATGATTTTACTGTCAGCAATTACCAAGAAGATGTACATGTAATTCCAACAGTGAGACAACCTTCGGTTTTTTCCTTTTAAAAACGCTCTGAAGACATACTGTATGAACAGGAGTTTATATATAGTACTACAAGAAAAAACTCCATTGAAAAAAGAAACTTACATCTTTTAAATGTGGAAATTGTTAAAACTTGTGGTACTTGCAGTGCCCTGTTGGCAGATATCATTCAAGTAACTCCTTGAAAATAACTCTCGCGGCCACAGTTTTTCAATGCCCTTGTATATAAGGAGAAATAAGGAAAAAACTGAAGTTTTTCATTCCTAAAATGAAAAAGAAATTAGCAGTGTTCTTTGATTTTCTGTTCTAGGTATTAAATTAATTTTTCTGAATGATAGGCAACCAGTAAATCAAGAACTAAATGCAAAATGAATTCATTTCACAAAAGATTTCACGTGTACTTTGTTGGTTTAGATTTATTTTACATTACATTTACATTTATTTATATTTAGATTTTTTTATTTATTTTATAGATTAATACTGTGACTAAACGATAGAAAAACAACACAAATACAATTTTTTTTTCCATATACAATATGTCCCCGGAACATCTTTTCTTTACAAGAGAAAAGGCTTTTAATGATTAAGTTTTTGAGACAAACGCATATCTTCTATATATCTTAAGTTTTTGTATCTTCTTGTTCAAATAGTTAATCCTGTTTATGGATTTCCAAATTTCTATATTGTTTAAGAGAAAATTTGAAAATTATATAGATATATCTAGTTAAGTAGTTTAGTAAGTAAAAATCAAAACGCGTTTCTATATGGTAACATCATTTCCTTTTCATTCTTTGAAATACATATTATTATTAATTTTAATTAGACAATTTTTTGCTAGTTTAAAATGTTAAAAAAGCATATTATAATCACCTTTTCTGTAGCATTGAACTAAATAAATTTTGTGCTTTTTTAACATACAGAAATCAGCAAAACAAATGTCGTTAATCAAAATTAATAATAACCATCTATCAAAGAATGAAAATAAGATAATATTATCATAAAGACGCGTTTTGATTTTGGGGTCTTTGAAAAAAATTCAACCATAATTTTATATTTTTTTATTTTGCTCTAAAAGGGTATGGAAAATTAGAAAAGTATAAACGAGATTAACTATTCTAGAACAAGCAAATGTTTTTATAAAAAATGCATTTTACTCAAAATGCAAATAACAGAAGTTTTTTAAAATCAATCTGGGGATATACTGTACGAACATGCATTTTTTTACCAGAAAAAAAAAAATATTAAAAGAAAAACTTACATCTTTTAAAGGTGGAAATTGTTTGAACACAGCCAATGTCTCAGCGAAGTAGTACTTGCCGTGCCCTGTTGGCAGATACCAAAGTTATTTATTAAATATCTTTGGCATATACCAATAAAATAACTCTTTGAAATCCAAGTGAAAATTGCCACAACTCTCGTCTTGGTTTTAAATTAATTTTTGTGAAGTATAGGCAACCAGTAAATCAAGAACTAAAAAACAATTCAAAATTAATTCATTTCATGTTTAATCTCTTGGTTGAGATTTATTCAATGCTGCGACGAAACAAAAGAAAAACAAGACAAATACAATTTTTTCTATATACAGTATGTCCCCGGATTATTTTATCTAACAAGAGAAAACATTTTTTATTAGTAATAGTTTGTGAAAAATGCTTTATAAAAAAATTAGCTTGCCCGAAAATAGTTAAACCGTTTATACTTCGTCAAATTTTCGGTACTGTTATTAGAGAAAAATAAAAAGAATAACGAAAATACAGTTGCATTCTTGGTAATAAATAATCCCGTTTTCATTCTTTGATAGATTGTTAATATTAATTTAATGATTAACGTCATATTTTCAGCTGTTCTTAAAGTATCACCTTTTCCATAGCATTAAATTAAATAACTTTTGTACTGCCTTAACATTTTAAAACATTAATAATAACCATCTATCGAAGAATGAAAACAAGATGATATTGTCATAGAGACGCGTTTTTTTTATTGCAACATAGAAAAAATTCAACAAAACATCTTCATATTACATTTTTTTAATTTTTTTTACAGTATGGAAATTTGAAAAAGTATAAATGAGATTAACCATTTTAAAACAAGCAACATTTTTTTATAAAGAGTCTTTTAAAAACAATCTGGGGACATACTGTATGAACACAGGCGTTTTTATATCAGAAAAAAACCTTATTAAAAGAAAAACTTACATCTTTTAAAGGTGAAAATTGTTTGAACACAACTAATGTCTCAATGAATTCTTTAAAATCTTTGGTGAAGGTAGTACTTGCAGTGCCCTGTTTACAAAAACCATTCAAATAACTCCTTGAAATCGAAGTGCATATTGCCATAAAAACTCTTGCCGCCACAGCTTTTCAATACTCTTGTAAATAAGGAAAAAAACAGTAGTTTTTCATTCCTAAAATGAAAAAAAAAATAACTTAATATTTTTCCTCATTTCTCCTTTTCGTTGACAAGAATTTTGAAAAGTTATGGTGGTAAGAGTTTTTTTTGAATGGTATCTGCCAATACAGGGCACTCCAAGTACTACTTGACTGAGACACTGGCTGTGTTTTAATAATTTTTGCCTTTAAAAGATGTGTTTTTTTTTGTATAGTTTTTTTTCTTGTAGTACCACATAAAAAAAACGCGTGTTTGGTGTTCATACAGTATGTCCCCAGATCATCTTTGCAAAAGGAAAGAGTTTTATTATTAAATTTTTGAAACAAATGTATTATTCATAAAAGTCTTCTGTATCTTCTTGTTAATTCCGTTTATAGTTTTTCAAATTTCCATATTTTTTACAAGAAAAATAAAAAAAATATATGAAGATATACTTGAATATTTTCTAACTCACAAAAATCAAAACGAGTAGTAATACCATTTCCTTTTCACTCTTGGGTAGATGGTTATTAATTTTAATTAACGTCAATTTTTTGCTATTACAATATGTTAAAAAAGCACAAAATTTATTTAGTTCAATGCTAGGAAAAACATGATTATAAATTTTATGCTTTTTAAAAATTTAATAATAGGAAAAATACATAAATAATGAAAATACATCAAAATTCATAATTATATTGAAATTATATTATCATAGAAACGCGTTTTAATTTTTAAGACTACAAAACCTTCACCCCATAAATTAAAATTTTCTTTTTCTCTAAAAACAGTATGGACATTTAGAAAACTATAAATGGGATTAACCATTTTAGAACAAGCAATTATTTTTATAAAGAATGCATTTTACTCAAAATATGAATAATAGAAAAAGGTTTGCTTCAGGTGATCTGGAGACATACTGTATAAACACGCGTTTTCTATATGGTACTACTAGAAAAAACTCTACTGAAAATAAACTTACATCTTTTAAAGGTGAACATTGTTTGAACACTGCCAATGTCTCAGTGAAGCTAGTACTTGCAGTGCCCTGTATACAAAAACCATTCAAATAACTCCTTGAAATCCAAGTGCATATTGCCACAAAAACTCTATTGACCACGTATTTTCAATACTCTCGTAAGTAAGGAGAACTGAAGAAAAACCATAAATTCTTCATTCCTAAAATGACAAAGAAATTAACATTCGTTGATTTTGTTGTTCTAGGCATTAAATTTATTTTTGAAAGGATAGGCAACCAGTAAATCAGAACAAAAAATCTAAATTCAAAAATAATTCGTTTTATGTCTGTCTAGTCTCTCTTTCTTGGTTTAGATATATTTAATAATGTGACTAAACAAAAGAAAAACAAGAAAAATATATTCTTTTCTATATACAGTATGTTACCGGATCGTCTTTGCAGGAGGACAAACTTTTATTATTTACTTTTTGAGACTAATGTATTCCCCATAAAAATTGTTAATTCTGTTTATACTTTTCCAAATTTCCATATCGTTTAAGAGAAAAATAAAAAAATATACGATGATATACTTGGTTAAATATTTGAAAAAAATAAAAAAGACATGAATTTCAATGGAAATATTATTTCTTTTTTGTTCTTCGATAGATGATAATTATTAATCTTGATTAACATCCATTTAAATTAAAATATTAAAAAAGCATAAAATATATAATCACTTTTTCTGCAAAACACTTTGAACAAAATAAAATTTGTACTTCTTTAACATACAAAAACAGCAAAAAATATGACGTTAATCAAAATCAATAATAACCATCTATCAAACAGTGAAAACAAAATTATATTAACATAGAAACGCATTTTAATTTTTAGGACTTTGAAAAAAGTCACCCACATTTCTTAAAAAAAATATTTTTCTTTAAAAATAAATTTAGAAAAGTATAAACTAAGGACTAACCGTTTTAAAATACATTTTTATTAAGAATGTTTGTATTTTACTCAAAATGTTAGTAATACAAAAGTCTTTCCTCCTGTAAAGATGATCTGGAGACATACTGTATGAACACCAAACACGCGTTTTTTTTATGTGGTACTACAAGAAAAAAAACTATACAAAAAAAAACACTTACATCTTTTAAAGGCAAAAATTATTAAAACACAGCCAGTGTCTCAGTCAAGTAGTACTTGGAGTGCCCTGTATTGGCAGATACCATTCAAAAAAAACTCTTACCACCATAACTTTTCAAAATTCTTGTCAACGAAAAGGAGAAATGAGGAAAAAAACGGAAGTTTTTCATTCCTAAAATGAAAAAGAGAATAATAATTATTATTTCAACAAAAAGAAAATACATTAAAATACTAGATAAACAAGAAATTAATATTGTTATTGCTTTCCTGGTCTAAGATTATTTGTATTAAATAATTTTAATAATAATAAACATAATTTTAATAATAATAAAAATAATTAAATCATTTCTAGAAAACGCTAGAAATCCCGTCGTCCATATTGGATTAATGACTAACAAATAGAGAAAAAAAATTGAGAAATTGTAAACAAATACAAAGAAAAATTGTAATTTGTAGTTGATTTCTTAATAAAGTAGTAACGATTAATCACAGAATTAATATATTTACCTTAATCACATATAATTTATATATAATTAATAACAAAATAACAATTATTGCTTTATCCAGGGCTCCTAGTCTATGGAAGGATGCAGAAAAACATATTTAAAATACTGCAAAAATAAACACTTTATTACTAAAGACTAGCAATTTATATCTAGAAAAATATTTTTATTACTATAACAAAGATATTTAGATAGTTATTTTTAATCATTAAATTAATAATAATCATTTATCAAAGAATGAAAACGAGATGCTACAATCACACAGACTCATTTTGATTTTTAGGACTTGGCAAAATTTCAACCATATTCTCATAATTTTTTATGTTTCTCTAACAGTATGGATATATGGAAAAGGATAAATGAGATTAACCATTTTAAAACAAGCAATTTTTTTTATAAAAAATGCATTTTACTCAACATGTTAGTAATAAAAAAGTTTTTCCTCTTGTAAAGGCAATCCGGAAACATTTATTAATAAAAATAAAACTTACTTTGAATTTCTTGCACAGCAGTAGTTGAAGATAGAGCTGAACTTTTATATAGACCTCCTCTTTTTTTCCTTCATTTGCCTTATGATGATGAAACATTACCTTCTTGCAGCTGATTTAACACTTGGTCGAAGATTAAGACTCAGCCAGCTTGTAGACACGAAGGGTAGCAACTTCCTTGAGTATGTGCACATGCTATGCAGGTCCTGGATGGTCCTACATCAAAGTTAGAGAGTGATCCAGGTCTCCTAGTCTATGGAAGGATGCAGAAAGACACCATTCTCTTGTGTTTCATATTAACATGTCTAAAACAAAAAAAAACTTATTTAAAACACTCAAAAAATAAACACTTTATTACTAAAATTTAGCTATTTACATCTAACAAAAAATTTTCTTGTTTTTGCCTATGACAAATATATTTAAAATTATTTTTAATCATTAAATTAATAATCAGTAGTGTTTTGGAAAAATGTCACTAATAAAAACCATCAAAAATCAAAGCAAAATACATAGCAATGATTAAAAATACCTTTTTTACAAAAGAAAAGTAAAACTACATAACACTATATCGATATAGGGCCAGTATTTAGAATAAAATACGTAAACATTAAAAATAATTAAATCATTTCTAGAAATCGCTAGAAATCCCGTCGTCCATATTGGATTAATGACTAACAAATAGAGAAAAAAAATTGAGAAATTGTAAACAAATACAAAGAAAAATTGTAATTTGTAGTTGATTTCTTAATAAAGTAGTAACGATTAATCACAGAATTAATATCTTTACCTTAATCACATATAATTTATATACAATTAATAACAAAATAACAATAATTATTGCAAAATTGAAGGGATGCCGGAACGCCATGACGGTTTACGATTACGAAAAACTTTTTACCATGCGAAAATACGTAATATGCTTGAAATAAAACGCACTTACCGTTTCGGGAGATTAAGTGGAACTTAGGAAAGAGGTTACACACGAATAATGTAAATTAAAATCACTTTTTCTAGATTAAAATTAAAAAAATTGGAAGAACACACGGGAGGACGTGCGAATCAACCAGTTGCAAAAAATGACAGTCGGTGTTGTCAGATTGTACGAACGTAAATATTACAGGCAATTACAGAAATATCTGTATTAAGAATAATTAAATATAATAACAAAAATATTATGTTATAGATGTTATTAAGAATAACTTATGTCAAACAAAATAATAATTGTATTATTAACTAGCTAAATTTTGCTTCAAAAAAATGTTGAAAGATAGGAAAATGGCAGTAAATTATAAGAATTTATTGGTAGTTTGGCAACATAACTAATAGTGTCCTTTGCGGAATCCTGGCGGAATCCAAATAGACCAATCACAATTATTAAGCATTTGTAATATTTGTAATCAACAAACTGTCAATTTAATAAGTTATGTAAAAGAGAACTAAGATATGTAATTACTTAATAACAGAGCAAAAAAAATAGAAACATTTTGTATATTTTTATACCAGTTCTAATAAAATTTAAGTTTAAAAATAAAAATAACCTACCTTTAAACATTGTTCTTCTACCCGTTCTACCCAATTCCCTGGCTCAGTTGTACCAGTATTACAACTGAGTTGTAACAACATGGTAACAACTCCCTGTTAGACCAAGAACTCGTAAACCAATATGATATGATGATCTATAATGAATTAAATAAACGTGTATTTAAAATACTGAACTGTCTTATACTTTGATTAACTGTTACAATATGTACCGTAGCCACAGAAATAAGAACATTTTCTTTTGATCGGCTCACAGAAAACTGTGTTTCTTTCTTTAGGAAATGGGGTCTTATTGATTTAATAAAGAATGTTCCATCGCCTTCTGAACTAAGTTGAACTTCAAGTTGGTCACTTTCACACAGTGCCACATCACTCACTACCGCTTAATTTTGTTTGTCCTTTGTCTTTTGCTTAAACACTGTTAAGGTAGCTTTGAAGGGTTTTCTTGTGCATCATCAATAGAATGACATTGTTTCTTAGGTAAATTCTGTGAGGGAACTATATATCGTTTCAGTTTTGGTTATTTCATTTTTATACCTAGAAAAGTACTTTAAATAACTGTTGAACTTATACTTGCGGCTGAAGTAAAAACGCAGGGATGCCGACAATAATACACAACTTTATATAAGATGCTAAGGTAATGACCATGATTTGTATGATTTATTTTTAATGTCATGGAACCTTATAATAAACAGAAATACCGTATGATCGGAAAAAAACGGCGTCAGTGTCCAGCGACGGCTGTGAAATGAAGATCGCAGTCACTTTATATGGGAAATGTCATTGATCGTCATTGCCTAGCCAACTGGACACCATTTTTTACTAATCATACGGTATGATACACCATAAAAATACACTATATATGCCACCTTTTAAAATTTAACTGGTGCTATGTTTACCTGTTTACCTTTTATTAGCTTCAAATGTTTGTTGGCTGGTTTGATTACTTTCAATTACTACATTCATTACCGCTGCTGAACGTCACATATTTCTATGCAGCTTACGTATTTTCAATTCTGAATTATCAATATTATAGTTATTAAACGTTTCTTCGTTTCTTGTATTTCATTTATATATTTTTAAACCACTTTTAAACTCTGATTTAAGGTTAGGTGAAGAAAAGCCGGTTGCCGTGATTGATTTTCCAACGGACTTCCTGTAACGTTCAAAAATAAGGGAAGATAATTAAAATACATCAATTTAATGTTACCTTTATCGAAAAATTGGAGCAACGTTACCTTAGATATGCCGTTCGAGAGCAAAAACCATATTATTTACTGGCAAGAAATTATCCAACTGCATTTAACGGTATCTTGACGCCGTTTTTTCGATTAAATTGCTTGATCAAAATGTTCTATTTCATAATGGGGCAAACTGGAAGCATGCTGGAACTTCCTATAAATAATTGGAAAATTATTTTAAAAAAAGTAACAAAAAACATTCCCAAGTTTATAACTCCAAGCATTTACGGGGTGAATTGCAAGCGTCGTCTCTCCGACTAGACGAATCTTAACAATCCCCCCCGTAAACGAAGGTACCTGAGAATGCGGAATTTCGTGGTAGAAATTGACCGGCGCCTCGGCATCAAGACTACCTTGACAGACATCGTACGACTGCAGACAATTCTCTAACAACAACTCAAGAGGGCTAAATTATGGGCTGGCCAGTTCCCATAACGTCGCATTCCTCAAGCGCCAGAAAGTTAGGATTAGAGTCTACATCGCACGCCGCGTCTGCGAATCCCAAATAAAATTCTTTTGTTTTTTGTATAAGTACTTATTTTATGTCGGAAGCGAGCGGTGAGATATTAAGGCAATGACGTATACCGAAGGTGTATTACTGGTTGCCTATTAGTTAGAAATTTTAAATTTAATATTTATTTTTCTTGAAAATTTTCATTTCTAGAACCAATGCTGGCTTTATTATGACCAGAACAGCTGGAATTTGGCATTCTGGATGCTTTGAACCATCATATTCGATGACAAACCTGGGAAAACACGCAAAAAAACTTGGATTTATAGGTAAAAAATTAATAACATAAACTTTAAGAAGAACTATGTCTTTTTTTCAGGTGGTAGTGCAAGTCAGCTACCTTCACCCGAAAAAAAAAACAACCCAAATCACCTTAAGACCATCATGGATATATTTGATGTTGTCTGGATAACGATATCTCCAGAATGAGATCAGGTAACGTGTGCCTTATGTGAGAGTTGTATGTTAAATTTTTATATTGCATGTTAAATTTTTATATTGTTTTTGTGCTTTTTGTTTTTTCATTATTTTGCATATTTTATTTTTTAGATTCATTTATTTTTCTATTTAATATTATTTTGCTATGATTTTATTTTTGGTTCTAATAAAGCTTTTTTATTTTGTTTAATATATAATAATAAATATAATATCTTTTTTATTTTGTTTTCTGCACTATTTTTATTTAATTTAATTTTTCATTTGTATTTTTTACCGTTTGAATTTTGAATATTCTTGATTATACAGTTTCATCCATATGGTCGAGAAAAAACGGCGTCAAAGACGGCTGGGGAATAACAATCGACGATAATTTTGTCGAGGTTTAACTCTAGACGTTATTACTTGGCCCGCACTGTTTTATTTTTTAATGGCGCTTACTGCCAGTTGGTTGTAAGAAGGTTGTAATTTATTTTTATATTCAGTAAAAAATTTGAGATAAAATAATTTTTTGGAAATAGGCTTGTGTGCCTGGAAATGGCTCTATCTATTTTTAATGTATATGACGCCGTTTTTTTCGATCTCACAGTATTTGAAAAATTACATAAAAAATCCAAGTCCTTATTTAAATAAAATAATACAATAGCAGTAACGAAAATAAGCCTATTATAGTTATTTTTTATACAAGACGATAAAACAATATTTTTTTCCATAGCGAGTTACGTTTTAAAAAATATTCAGAAATTAATATTTCAAGGAATTTATTACGAGTAGAAAAAATATTGTGCTGGGTTGGCGTTGGTTTCTATGTAATTTGACAAATAAATAAAGCTGTCTCTTTAGTTGTCAGTTTTGAGTCAATATTTTTTAATTCTCTTTCGTGTCGATTGCTGATTGAATTGGAGCGAGAAATGGCTCAAAACGAAATAAGTAAATTACCAACAGATATTCAGGCTGAGGCGACAAACGCCATATCCAAACTACTTCCATTTAAATCCCGAATAACTTATGAAAAGGAATACAAAAATTTTCAAAAATGGAAGCAATTAAAAGACGTGCGAGAAGAAATAAAGTTTTTAACCTATCCTCGCTGTTAAAGTATCATTTAATCTACCCTTGGGGTTAAACTACTATTTTATCTACTATTTTTGATAGATATAAGACAATTTTAACAGTTGATGCTATGGAAAAAATGTTATAAACTATATTTTAATCCATGATCAAACATTTTAATCGTGTATATGGGTCTTTCCCCGTATTGGTTCGGCCATATTGGGCGATCATCGACCCATACCAAAGCAACGGTTCGACCAGGGGTCGGCTGGAATGCGACCTGCTTGCCAAAATCCCAAACGCACGCTTGCGACATATTTAAGTTGGTCAGTGCGGTCAGCAGAGAGAACGCCAGATACAGCTGGCTAACTTCTTCACAAGAAATTCGGCCACTTTTTTTAATCGCTCCGTATTAATGCTCTATATTTTCTTTTGATTGCTGTGAATTTCTGTCTTAATTTATTAGTACCAAAGTGTATAATATTTACCTACTCTTTACACACTTAATATTGTTATAATTGAAAAATTATGATTTAACAATATCTTCTGAAACCATGACAATAAAACTAAAATAATGATTTCATCTAGATCAAGCATAATAATTACAGTACATAGTTCCCATTCGCCTTTTTTTATTTGAAAGAAAGGTTCACTAACCAACTTGCCCTTTAAAAGAACCAAAGTATATATTTTCGTGATACGAATTTTAATTAAGATAAAAATTCAAACCTTATATCTGTGTCTCTCTCTCTAACACATTTGTTTTAAGTATAACGTATGTCGTGGATTTTTTTAACTGTTAGGTCTCATTAAAATGCTTATTAATAAGGTGTGATACAGACAGAGCTTGACCCGTAACGAATTATATGGACTATAAACAGTTAGCTGTGATTAAAAATTGTTTAGAGCTTACGCGTGATTTTTTTTCGTCATTATTTATTTGGTCTTACTACATTTATCAAGTAAATTTCATCATGATACCAAACATATATCCTGTGTTCTATTTAATTTCTTAGTCTGAGTTGAGGAAGATTCTTAAAAACCACCTGTTACTGAAAGTAAAAATATCGGAACACCTGTTACTAAACTAAATTTCTCTAATAACGTCAATAAAACCCTTAAGAAATATATATACCATAAAAATTTGTAATACCAATTTTCATATAAAATTTGAATTTTGATTTTATTTTTAAAAGTAAACGTTCTTTTTCTTTAGTATTATCTGTTTATTAAACTACTTTATTATACCTAGTACCAGTATAATATAGAATATAAAATATAAATAAAAAAGAACCTGCTGTAGAAAATAAAATATTTTAGCACCTGTGCGCAAAGACCCTTTTGAGGGATCGTAGGTAAAAATTTTGCAATATCCAGCCATAAAATCTGCCATAAACCATCATTATTACGTGACTTAGTACCCAGTTTTAAATACAATCTCGTAAAGCTTTAATGTTGCTTCTTTTTTTTACGATTCAACCAAGTATTGATTGGTTTTACGACACCTTTTTATGGCTTGGACCCCCAACAACTGTTTAAAAGAAGATTTAACCAACCCTAGATTGTAGATCTGAACTTATTGTAGAACTTAGAGCAGAACTTGAGAACCAGAGGACTATCTAAGACACTATTAGAAATTTTCTTGAATAAGGTTTGCAGAGCTTCAGCATTTGCCATAAAATAGCGAACAATTTGTTACAACACCATATAAATTATACATATACAATCTATTTCCGTATAGTAACGGAATTTTAAATTATGTCTTTAATTTCGGGAAAATTTAGTCCAAACATAAGGAATATTTTGTTGCATTTGCTACTTTCAACGCTTATTTTGCTACTTTTTGGGACTAATGAAATGGACTTTTAAGTAATTAAAATTATTTAAAAAAGACTCAAGTTTTTTGTGAGCTTGCAACTCTGGTTGTCACTCAAGAAACTTCTTGAGTTACTTGAAGAAACTTCTTCCATCTGATACAATCTACATCCCTAACAACTGTTTGAAAAAAGATTTAAGCAACCCTAGTTAAATTAAAATAAAAAAAAACAAATGTTTTCGAGTGTTATATTGTTTTAAACGAATTGTTGTTTGTAATTAGGGGTTCGTAGATCGGTATAAAAAGATGGGAAAACAATAAGAGACTATTAAACAGTCGACTGGTTCGATAATTTGCTTTCTTTTTATCTATTTGGACGATTTAAAGGAAACAGCCGGTTTCTTCTTTGCTAAAGCGTGAAAACGTACCATCCATCACAATTGCACAATTTCAAATTAGAATATCTAAACAATCAGGCTCATTTTGCTTAAATTGTTACCTTAAATTCAGAGATAATAAAACACTTCATTAGTGGAAAATAAGTGATATACAGTAGAGACTCGGTAATCCGGCTCAATCAAAGAATGGGTTAATCCGGATTATCGCGTCTTGCATTTTTATATAGATACCATTATAAGAATATACAGGGTGGCGCCCCTCATTCACCTCGGTTGATTATACGAAAACGGAAAGATGTAGAAACTAAATATTTTATGGGTATATGTGGGGAGTCAATGTGCACAATTTAAAATTATTTTAAAATATACAGGGTGTCTCAGAACTAAGATCCATACCAAAGTTATATTTTTTCTTATAGAACACCCGGTATTTTATTTCATTTTTCGTTTCTTGGACCCAAAAAAAGACATTTATTATAAGGGTTAAATATGTTTAAAATCATTGGTTTTAAAGATATTTAAAGATATTTAAATATGCATGCTACAAGAGAATTGATTTTCAATACCCTGTACATTACTTTTCAGAATTAATTCTTGTTCTGAGTTTAAAGACAAAGAAATAGACTTTACTGAAAAATGTTACTGCTTCCTTAAATTTATACAGGGGTACCAAAAATTAGTGATCTATTTTAAGGATTTATTTTACATAAAAACTTTGTTATTTCAAATGCAACACCCTGTATTTTCTTAAATAAATCGAAGCAGATTCAAATGCTCTTTCAAACTATATTAGGGTTTCCTATACCTATCTATCTCAGATTTTGAATAAAAAGCGATTTTTAAATAAAATGGCAATCAAGATGGCTGGTATCGCTATTGCAGTTTTCTAGTGACAGTTAGTAACTGTCACAAAAGCGCCACCCTGTATATCCTCCTTAAATATTAGCATGTCATTAAGGAACACCCTGTATATGTATTCTACCTGAATTAACTATTTTATGGTATTCTTCCTGTTGTAATAAAAAAAGTCAAAATCCTAGCTTCCTTTTTAGACAATCCTAGTGATTTATAACACCTAAAATGCCTCCCTCGCTACAAAAACTCGAACTTGCGACATTAGAATGGGCGTACTCCCGTGGGTTCTTGTGTTCGTTTTGTGCGCTTTGTTTGTGAGCCTGGCTGGAAGGATAATAAGCCTGAAATACCGAGCGATTCAAAAAGAAAGACCGCTTAAAGCGAGAAACATCAACAGTCGCATGGACGAGTAACCCTAGTTTTGTAGATTGTAAATTATTTTATTATTATAATCTATCCAACGCTTTGAATAAGAAGACTAAGGAAGGAGCATATCAAAAATCTTAGGTACACCGCGATGGGCCTCAAATATGGCCGACTTAAATTCCGGTTTATCAGTGTCGTTCTAATTTTATTTAAAAAATGTAAAACTATGATAATAATATATATAATTTGTTGTTTTATTTTACGTTGTGAATAAATGTTGGTAGTTATTAAAATTGTTATAAAAATATATAATTCTAATAAAAATAGAAAAGTTATAATAAGTATTTATTAACACAAACATCCGATACGCTACTGAAGCAGGTAAGTCAAATTAACGTATCTAAATTCTTTGAACATCTTTGACAAGTAATGCTAAAATGCAAGAAAAATATATAATTTAGTAAATTTAAGTGAATTTCATAAATGATCGGTTTACTACACGTATGTATATTATATAGTCACTTACTAGCGAAAAGTTGTTCCATTATTTCACTCGATTTTTGCCGAGATCTACCGCACGCTACACAACCAACTATTTTAGAGTCTTTTTCGATAAATCGCGATAGTGTCACTGTTAGTTTAAGTTCTGCCAAAATTTCCATCTAGATTTACTACCTTTATACAACTATCAGTAGTAGAATAAAAAATAAATAACATAAAATACGCTCCGTAAAGACTGACAAATCAACAAAATTTCAAATCAAATTCAAATGTGTCAAATAAATCGTCAAACAGAACTGTCAAGGATCCCCACCCTAGAGTCCTTTTTCCGCCCACCATGCATGAATACATGGATAGCATTATGCTCCTTCCTTAGTTTTTTTATTTAAAACTTTTTTTAGTGAAATAAAAGGATTGGTATGGAAGTCATCTGCTTTTTTTCTGTCATCGTCTGTCGAAATCTTACCTGAGAAAAAACAGAGTATATACAATGTAATATATGAAGTATGTAAAGAAAAATAAGAAAGTTCGAAATATAATATACCAGCTGTCTTAAAAAAATCTCTATAATATGACGTATTATACATATTATATCGGTGTTTCTTTAATGTAATTTGGTTATACGGAGAACCAGATAACAGTGTTTTATCTTGTTCTAATTTGTTCTAACACCAAGACATATTATAAACTATGTCAAACATTTGAGGAATTCGAAACGGTACGATTTTTTAGAACCACCGGGTAGTACCGAACCTCGCGTCCAAGAAAACCTTTCTCCCACTAGCTACCTGCGTCCGGCCAGTCTTTAAGAATTCACCTGAATATCTTTAGTTGGCGCTGGCGATACTGCAGGCTACGGTCGTACCGTCTCGTGTGGACGCGTGCTAAGGTGAACGGTACCGTTAGAACTAGAGTTGTGAGAGAGAGAGTGGCAAAGGACTGAACACCATCGAAGCTAGTGTGGAAATTTCGACATTTTCATGTGTCCGAACCGAGCGAAGTAGTTTTTATTTTCCTTCCAGATAGATTACAGTACCTTAAGGTAAGTGACTGGGTACCGTTTTGCAGATAGAACGGTACCAGCTCAAGTGGAAATTTCAGAAAGTACATGTGGTTAGTCTAAGTTGCAACGGGTTTTGATTTTTATTTGAGATACGTTTAGTGCTGTATTGGTCCTAATCAGTCGATGGTACTTCTTAAAAGAAATAAAATCCATGGTGGTCCATATAAGAATGTTTACTATAAAAATTTTGTAATCCTCAAGAGATACAAAGATGGTTAAAGTAACCATGTATATGCATTTTAAAACGGTTTGGGTAGCACTATAGTTTTTAAAAATAAATACCAATTTCCATACAACAAAGAACGATGTCAAAGTGATTTTTCAAATGACAATTGATGAAAAATTGATAAATTTTTATATAATAATATCATTTAAGAATTTTTGAAGCTGTTGACGTAGTAGTATGGTACCTATTTATTTATTCTGAATATAAACACTGGCAGGTTAATTTTGAGTACCGACAAACAGTTAGGCCTTGCCCATACTATACCATGATACCGTTTTGAATAGTTCCTCGTGAATACTAAGTGTTCATACATTCCTCAGTGGTTAGATAACCTGTTCTCGGGAGGAACTTCAACGCGAAGATACCATAATACGACTGAATCTGAGATTTTTTTAGTCTAATTTTGTCGGGGGTTTACAAGTCAAGAAGGTCAGGAAATAATATTATAAACAATTATTTTTTTATATTTTCTACGACATAATAATATTTTGGAGTTGGCCAAAGAATGCATAGAGAAGCTGAACAAATTAGGCAAAGAAAATAAAGTCATTCTGCTCTGGGATACGAGGCTAATAAAAAGCGCCATTTTTTAAGCATTTTTTCACGAAATTACTGAGTTATAGCCAATTCTTATCTTTCTTGACTAATTTCACTTAGTTAGCCATGGAAACAAGTTCAATCGTCGTGGCTCTCAGAAATGTGAAACTGTCACATCCAAACTTTGTAAATTAAAATAAAGAAAAATTGTAAATATGAATTGTTCAAATGAAGAAAAGCGGTGTAGGATTATTGGTTCAACTTTTCTTGGCTATACAGTATCGAGGATACGTTGACAGGTGAACGTTACTTACGTTTTTTAAAAAATGGTTTTCAAAAACATGTTAGAAAAGTTAAATTTAGATACTTGCGCATTAATAGAGTGGTTCCAACATGACTTTCATTATGACACACCACCCTCCCCCACAATGAAAGAAATGTTAAAAATTATTTATATCATAATTATGTAGACTCAGGGATAGAAAGAGGTGGACCAATTGCGTGGGCCTCCTCGATTATATCCATTTTAGATTTTTTTATGCAATATGCTTAACAATAAGGTTTACAAAAGAACTTATCAATTAAGAGAGGCACTCGAAGAGGCGGTAGAGGAGAGGTTTAATTAAGTCCATCGGTCGTTCTGTGAGAATAGCTAGAAATTCAGTTTTAAAAAGATGCATTTATGTACTCAAAACAATAGCGGATTTTTTGAACATTTTCTAAAATAACTTAAAGTGTATGTAGTGAATGTATGAATTTTTTAAGTTTTAGTTTGTTAATGTAAATTGTAAAGAGCCGTTTAATAATATATTTTGTCTTTTTATAAGTTATAAATGATAACAAAATAAGAACACCATGCCAACTAAGTGAAATTAGTCAAGAAAGATAAGAATTGGCTATAACTCAGTAATTTTTTGAAAAAACATATTATAGTTTATATCGCTGAAAAGCTTAAAAAATGGCGCTTTTTATGAAGTCATGGCCAACTATGGTTTCCATTTAAAAAAACATATGTTTGTGTCATATGTCAAAAATGACAGGCTTTAGAAAAAATCGGAGAACACAAACACATGTGATTATCTACAACTTTTATTTGAAAATTTTTGTCTAAAATAGATTATAATGGAATTACGGACAATTTTTAAAATAATATTTCGAAATTTCTACTAAGCCATGAACTTTTTCAAAAATCTGAAAGGCGCATATTTATGACTCCACAAAACTGCAATTCTTTCCCCATTTAACCGACTCTCTATCTCCAGTAGTTTCCGAGATACCCCTAGAGAACATCGTAGGAAACTCACCCTGTATATAAACAATCATAATTTCTATGTTTTCTACGGTATATATTGCGGTTTTGCACTTGCACGATCTAAGTTATATAAATTTTCATGAGAATTATGACCCAAGGTCAGATTTTTGAATCGGTTGGAAGGTGAACTTGCTTAACGGAAATACAAGAAAGTTTTTCAATAACTCCAGATGCAAATGGGGCACTTACCTTGCGCGTAGGCACATTTTTAGCTCTAGAGAATCTGTTATAGTACTTTAATCAATTAGAACCTGTTAGAAATTGGAATAAATTAATGTAAAATTATTAGTAACGGAGTCAGAAAACAGTCTAAGGTCGTCATTTATCAAATTCAAAGACAAGGAATTCGTTCTTTTTGATAGATATACCAAAAATAGTAGATAAAATAGTACTTTAACAGCAAGGGTAAATTAAATAATGATACTTTAACAGCGGGGATAGGTTAAAAACTTTATTTCTTCTCGCACGTTTTTTAATTGCTTCCATTTTTAAAAACTTTTGTATTCCTGTTCATAAGTTATTCGGGATTTAAATGGAAGTAGTTTGGATATGGCGTTTGTTGCCTCAGCCCCATATCTGTTGGTTTGGTTTGGTTGAAATTACCAAATCAAACCAATCAATTAGAGTTTTTCACAAAAGAAACTAGCCAGAACTTACTCAATTTTACTTGTATTTTTTATCTGAATAATGAAATACTTTTTTTAGAAAACATCCGGTTAAAAAACTTCTTAAAATTCTCTGTTTACTGACCCACTGACTTACGCTGACGTCACTACACATCGACCCCATCAAATTCTTTTATTTTCAGTGTAAATATTTACCAAAAAACTTGTTAATTAATTTGTGTGTGAACAAAGAGAGAACATTAAGAATTCACACAGTAACCTGATTACTTTCAAGTACCGAACAGGTTTCTGTGTGATTTTTTCCCGTTTTTGAATTCCTCACTTCGGCCGTCAGACGTATCTGATTTGATGCCCGTTGAATTTTTCGAATGGCACTTTTGACAAGGGAAGTCTTTGTTTTGAGCTGCTTCAAGGTCGAGAAAGAAATGAAGGCGGTGTTTGTATGCCTACGAGTACCACTATATTTTCTTGTGTTGGTGGGTGGATTGTTTGAGTTTTGAATTTAGCGGAAAGTAAGAGTTTGGTTAGCACATTTTATTTTGGATATTTTTAGGATAAAATATTTCTTTATATTTAAGATTAAAATTAATATTGATCACTGCAGCAATACATATTCCTTAATGAATTAGTCATGGGAATAGTTTAAAATAAATTGCATAAATTAATTTAACCTTGATAAGTTTACTATAAATACTCGTAATTTCAGATATCGGTGATGTTTTGCAAGGTTCGCTGCAAAGGATAAGATAATTATTAAGAATTAATTAAATTTAAACAAAATCCTGTTTATTGGTACTGTATAATATTTTAAAAACAATTCTATAAAACGACTATTATGATAATTAAAAAAAAACAACAATTATTAATTTCTAAATTCTCCAGAAAACAATATAATACAAAGAGTAATAATCTTCTTTAACGTAACCAAGAAGAAAGAATTACTTAAATGCGGTAGAATTTTGTTCTCATATAATCATTATCTTCACTACCATTACATAATGTTCTTACCATTGTTGTTTTCGGAGAGTGCAAATCTTGATTGTATAGATTTAACACTTTTTTTAATGCCTATGTCACTTTGAAGAAATTTTAATAAAGCTCTTATTGATATTAGTTCAAACTTGCTAAAATGAATGTTTGGTATTAAATAAGAATTTTTAAAAAAAATACGCAAAAGGAAATTAGTATTCTCAGGCCTGACAAAGGATAATTAAACTAGCCAGAGCGTGACAGCAATGTCAAATATTATATAATGGTGTAAATAATTAGTTTCAGAGAGATTGCTGGTGACAATAAAAATATTGAGTTAATAAAAATGTATTAAAGATGTTTTTTACAAATAGAAATCATTTTTCTGTGCTATTGGACTGTTAAACACACAGTCCAGTAGCTCTAAAACTGTTTTAAACATTTATTGAGCCACTGAAAGACTACACGCGCTATCCAGTGGCTCTGTAACTGTTTTAAACCTTTTCTGTGCTACTGGAAAGTTACACACACAATGCAGAGGAGTTCAAAACTGTTTTAAACATTTTCTGTGCCACTGGAAGTTTACACACACAGTTCAATGGCTCCAAAACTGATTTAAACATTTTCAGTACCGCTGATATGAATAAAACTTCCAATCCCATGGGAGGCTACACACCCAGTTGGTTCTTAAATTCTTTAAATAAGTTTTTTTTTAAATAATATCTTGAAATTTCTATTATAAAATATTTAGGAAAAACTTTTAAATAAAAATTTGGAAAAATAAAACATTAAATACGTATTAGACAGTTAACTGAAACCAAAACAGTAAAAAGAAAGGTAGAACAATTGGAAAAAATGCAGTTTCTAACTAGTCAAGGAAACGATTTGATAAATTCATAACGTTTATTACCAAGGTGATACTAATTAAGGTAAACTTGTTCTAATAATCGAAAACACATACATATACATACATGGCACGAAATATTCTTGATTTTATACAAAACGCTTTCGTTTTTGATTTTTTTCGATAAAAGAAATTCTTTTTATAATGTTGTTTCGTGATTGTTTGACCAGTTTATACAATTACCATACCGAAATCTGGGCTGTAACCCAAAAAGCGTGCCTGCAGTTAGGCGATTCGATGATTCACAATTAGCACGTACTCACTAATTAAACGTAAGCATAAACGAACAAAAAAGAAACAGAATGGACAACAAAAATACACGCAAAACTTTCTAAAATCGTCTCGGAATGTCCACAAACACACCGAAACAATTTGTTTTACTTTTTCTTGAACTTCATATATAAT